AACATAACTATTGTTACTATTAATATGAACTTTCTCAACATTTTATAGCACTATGGCTATAAAAAACTAATTGCCTTACATATAAGGATGGTTATTCATAACTTCATAATTAAGAAAAACTAAATGAAAACATAAAAAGCTTTTATTAAAAACTCTTTGGTTGTCTGGTTCAACGTCCTCCATATCGCAAAATGGCGGTCTTGGCTATAAATTTTGGCGGTCAATGGTGCCCAAATGACAACTCGAGAATTGCTTAAATTCGAGATATTCCTTAAACTTCTGAGGTTAAAAATGACCGCCATTTGTAAAATTAATGTGTTATTTAATTTTTATTTTATTTGATATTGATATAAAATAAGTACGTACCTTCTTAATTTAATTTTAAAGTTAAAATAGTTTTTTATTTATTAAAAAAATGCAATAAATATAATGAAAGTGAATAATAATAGTGTTAATTTAATGTCTCAGACTAAAGAATAATAATATACTTAGACAGAGTGTCACCGAATGAAACATGAAGCTTTAAAATAATTATTTAATGTTTTAAAACAGAATACTTAATAAATAAATGCATATTAATAGAATATTCATTGCTGTGATAAATAAATAAATGTTAATAAATAAGCTAATATGATAATATTATTTTATTTTTACTATTCATATTTTCTTTTAAAACTGAACATTATCGATAGCTGTACATTACCTGTATATTAACATGAAAAAAATGAACGATATGTATGTAAAAATCGAGAATAGTAGCATAAACAGCAAAACTCGCTATTATTTTCGACTATGGTATTTTTTTGCAATTAAAATCTAAAGAAGGACACAAACATTTTAAACTACAACTTACAAATTGAGAATATTATATGCTTGATTGCGTAAATAAACAATATCATTTTTTTTTAAAAGCTATTTTTTCGGATTATTTTGGTTTCCGAATTAAAGTTCCGAATGCTTTACAGCAATTATGGTCTCCGGGAGAGACTATAAAACCGCCAAAAAATCTGAAAAGATACGTTTTATTTAAAATGTCAAATATTCGCGTAAATCTAAGAAAGTCTTATTTTTTTATTTTAATTTCTTCATTAGTGACTGCAGAGAAAATTTAAAATTTCATTAATTTTAAAGTGAGTTACAATCCAGTGTAACAACGCCTCTTCATCTGCAGAAACACAGATAACGTGTATAATGGCTATAAAGTAAAAACATAATGACACACCGATGCTTCTACATCGACATCGTAACGTACATTATTGCTGATTACTGAGTGAAGTGTTATCCCACGGTGAGTAAAAAAATAATTAGAGTAAATTTTTAGTTTCACTATAATAAAGATTCTTTGTTAAATAAATGCAGTTCAGAAATCTTACGTATAATAGACCGTGAAAATAGCTTCGCTCGTATACTTATTAACTTGTTTATTTATAACTAGTATTACTCGCGGCTTCGCTCGCATTCAATCTTCCGATGTAAACACCAGTTTTATAATAATGTATTGAAGTCTGTCCGATTTCTTGACATTTATGATTACTGCTCCACTCCCTTGGATAGTGATATGACGATAGTCTATAGTCTTCCTTCATAAACGGGCTATCTAATCCAAAAAGAATTTTTAAAATCAGATTAGTAGTTCCTGAGATTACCGCGTTCAAAAAAAAAACAAACAAAGAAATAGACAGATGAACGGACGTTAATTTGTCATATTTTAACATTATCCCTTGAAACTTTAATTATATCGAAACTTGAAAATTCATGAAACTTTTATTGAAGCTTTCATTTGCTTAATTTTCTTCACTTGTGTATATATAATATATATATGTAGGTACTGCACTTGTATGGTCAGTGCATGTGTCTTAACCCGAGCAATATACTCGTATATCTTTCACACTTTCACTTTCTATCCTTCAAAGATTCTAATAATAAAGGTTTCATTGTGAATATATAAAGTTAATAAAATATTAGTTTAAAGTAAGGATCAAACCTATTTGACTGTTTTTAAACATTTTAAAACTATAAAAACTTAATTTTTTTGTACAATACCGACTGCGGCACTCCAAAAGCTCTGCGAAGCATATAGAAAAATAAACAATTGTCTGTTTACGGAACTTTAAAAATATTTCTTCACTTAATGCATTAAGCAAGCGTACAAAGACTCCACATAGCTTGGGCGGGGCGCTTAGCAGCTTATTATAAAATTACTTCTTATTGTAGGATGGATACACGCTCTCTTAATATTATACGATTCGGAAAATTATTTAAAAACGTCAATGCTTATAATTTTTTGATCAATAAATTTAGATATTAATTATAATTTAAAATAACAAAAGTAAAAATATTTTTATGGCTGTTTATAACATGAAATATCAGTCGAAACTTGTTTTATCGTATGTTTTAATATATAATAACAATATTTGTAAAAAAATTAAATTAAAAGAATATTGAAAATAATATTGAAAATTTGCAATTAGATAACAACTGAAAATGTAATACTAATATTAACATTATTAAAAATAATTTAATATTAATATTATAAACAGGAAAGATTTCTTTGTTTGTTTGTACCGAATAAGCTCCGAAACTAATGGACCGATTTAGATGAAATTTGGTAAAAATATATTTTGAAACCCTAAGAAGCATATAGGATAGTTTTTATCCCGGAAATCATCCCTCAAGGGGGTGTAAATGGGGATGAGAGTTTGTATGGAGAATCAATAAAAAAATGTAGATGGGTGTGAAAGGATATGGAATTTCAAACAGTGATCTATATCACTTTAAATGAAAATAAAAACTTGTAATTTTCCAATATTAAGTAGTCTCCATATACTTAAAATAGTAGTCTACCTAGTATCGAAGCTAGTGTGGGTACAGTGAAAGGTTAGCGCAGTGGGCGACTGTCGGCGCTCCGCTCGACGTCCTTGTCGAGATTATCCCATCCAAATGTCATATTTCATTACAACTTGCTTTTTCTTTATAGGCGTGAACGATTAACCCCTTTAGATATTCAATTATTATTTAAAATATTAAAGTTATAAGAATAGAAAGCTATCGTAGTAGCGCAGTAGTAGCTTTATAAATGCTTCTGTCTACTGACGTGGTTACGAGTTCTTTCCTTCACAGGAAAACTTGGTTATTGTGTTTTAAGCTAGAATAAAACTTCAAAGCGACTGTATATTTTTAAAAGTCTTATCGCGCTACACAAGAAGATTACACGTTTTATATTGTTCTAAACCTTTTATTACTATGTAAATCTGTTTTTAAGTGATTTGTTTAGGATTTTGGGCCTTAGATTCGCATAAGTTTAATTTTTTTTTATCAGATTTAAAGTTATTGTAATTTGTAAGTTTAAAAGAATAAACACGCATAGGTTTTATTTTCTAGAACAAGCTTATGTCTTATAAAACAAAGAAAATTCTAAAGCTATTAATCGATTCTCGCTGTACAGATAATAAGATGACATACCATACGATTACGATATATTGCAAGGACGAGCGGATATGAAAATAACGTTGTATTATTATAATTATAGTTATAATCAGACATATTCTAATATGAATTATACTTTAAATATGAGGAAAAATATATAAAGATTTGACGACACGTTTGGCTCAGTTTGTAGTGACCCTACTTGCTATGTCAGCGGTGGCGGGTTCGAGTCCCGCTGGGGGCATCCATTTGTCTAATGAGCACGAATGTTTGCACTCCGGTCATGGGTGTTTATATGTATAATATGTATTTATATAAAGTAATTTATGTGTAGTATATTAACTATCTCGTATTCATAACACAGGCCTCGTAGCTTACCATGGAACTATGTAGATGGTGATGTGTGTTAATGTCCCAACATATATTTATTATGTGATATGTGAGAATAAATAAATAATGGTATATATAGAAAAATGCTAAAAAGGATACTTCAAAAAGTCTCTCTCTTTCATATTACTTTACTAGCAACTCACCCTCGTTACGCTCCAGTTTGTCTCTAGTGAAAAACAAATCGATCCTACGGGAACCGTACAATTTTCCGGGATAAAGAGTGACCTGTGTGCTATTCCAGATTATAATCTATCAGACTATCTCTGTGGCAAATTTCATCCAGATCCGTTCAGCCATTCTGGCGTGAAAGAGTAACAAACATCCAACCATCCAAACTTTCACATTTTTAATATTAATGGGATTGGATAGAATTTTTTGTGTCAAATTTAATTTGTTTTGTTTTTCTGTTTTTTTTTTGTTTTTTTGTTTTTCTGGTAGGTCTCCTAGGTTACGCGAAAAATTCGAAGAATGTTAATAATATTTTTCACATTGTATATAACGCGATATCGCACTTACGCTTTTGACGCATTGCGATTTTATCTTAAGAGCTCTAAGAAACTCAAAGCATTATAATCCGTTACTTATGACATAAGCCATGTTGTATGAAAAGCTTTGATAAACAAATCAGTGTCAGTAATAACATAACTTATTCTAACTTTTTTATCTTTAAATTTGCTTTTTTATTTATTATTTTATTTGTGATAGAGGAGGCTTTTTATTATTTTTTGCTATTTTTTTTCTCAATGTCATGTAAAATATATGTGCTGTGGCTAAAATATATAAATTTATTGGCTTCACCATTTTTTATTTAAGGCATAGCAGCAATTGTCATATGTTATGCCATTAACGTTAATGCCGGTAATACAGTTCATAGATAATAATAAACAACTATGTATATAAAGGCTTAATTACACTACTATTGTAATTATGTGTGCGTGTGTGTGCGTGCGTGTTTGTGTGCGCGCGTGTGTGTGTTGAAACGACTGAACCAACATGGATTAAATTTAGTACATAGACTATGACCTAGAATTACTCACAGACTATTGTGAGTAATAATTTTCACAATGTGGCGTATCCTGAACATTAGATTATATTAGAAATATAAAAGCCAAGCCACCTAGTGCCTACACAATAAATAAAAAAATAAAACGCTTTATTGTTGTATTTATTTTTTTTCCAGATAAATGATGGCGATGCTTTGGTGTGTTTTGGCGTGTGCGCTGTCGGCTGCGCACGCGCAGTCCAACTATGGATCGCAAGCGAACAATATCGAGTATCAGGGGGATGGGCTTCCTGAACAAACTATTCTTGATGGAAAAGTAAGTTAGATAATGTATTTCTTTTACTTTTTAGGATGGATGGTTTGAAATATATTTTTATACGAAAAAATACAATTAACTAAGTAAAAAAAAAATTATAAGGATTTTCAGGAAAATGAGATAAGCATTTTTGGGCTGCGGGTAATTAAAAAGAAAAATGAAGCTTTATAATTTTGCTTTAATTATTTTATTTGTGTACCTAAACTCTGTTCGTTATCAAGTAGAGCTGTTAACATCCATAGTTAAATCCCACCTAATTGCATCCTAATGCAAAATGGACCTAAAATTGGCCTCAACCCTAGACTATAGGGAGATAAATCTTAAATAAACGTGCTTCACTTGCACATAATTAATAAATAGCACAAAAGAAAGTAAGTTTATAGCATATTGTAAACGAGGTGATGGATACGGCTATTATAGATAATATCTGAAACGCGGTTCCATTGTAAAACGATGTACGTATTCCATATGAGGAGAAGTAACATGGTACAATAATAAAAAATAATAATATATTCCTTTATGTCTACGGTATAAAGGTAAATTTAAAGCATTTTTATTGAATTGCCATCTTGCAATAACGTCTCAATGCTAGTCGATACATTCGATTGTCAGAGGTCGAGGGTTCGATTCCTGTATCAGTTACACTCTCATTATCTCTATATAGATTAGAAGATAATAATAGAATAAAGAGAAAGACATAGATATCAAATTAAGTAGGTTAGGTAAGATAAAGCATCAAATTAAGTGTAAACAATATTTTTTTATATCAAGTTATATAGTAAAATAATTGATAAAATTTTGGTCTGTACGCATCCTATCAATATATAATAAAATGTGCAAGTTAAAAAGCAAGCAAAACCACGCGTAAGAGCAAGTACGTATATTTTTATTTATTCTGCCATGTTTCACAGGTACATGGTCAGGATGAAAACCGCCATGGGCCGATATAATTAGCTAGATAGATTTATAGTGAGCGCTGCAATTTACTAAAGGAGTAAAATATTTGGCTCAAGGGTATACGAGATTTATTGGTTTTCTGTAAAATCTTAAAACGGTCTAGCAAAGCTATTTAATTTTCTTATTATATCTTTAAATACCCATTCAATTGAATTTCATACTTTTTTACCCACGACGGAACGGAGACAGTATATGCGTTTAGGCTAAGAGAGGATGTTTGTTTGTTTGTTTGTTTGTTTGTTTGTTTGTTTGTTTGTTTTTTTGTTTCTTTGTTTGTGTGTTTGTGCAAGTACATGTTGCCATTTTTCTTCACAACTACTAGTTAACCTCCAGGACACATACTCATATGTATAATAAATACCTAGTGCATGCAAAAATACTTGTCGAATATTGTAGAATAGTGATTATACGTAATGATGGGGTGAGCGGCTGTATTTTGTGAGGATCACGAGTTCTCCCACAATTAGTGATTTAAAAAGTGAAAAACTAAGAGCAAGCCTGCATTGTCATAATAGGCGAGAAATGGATGACGGCGTAATAAAACGAGTTTTTGCCTTAGTTAAGTTTTACTCTCAAAGATTATCTAAAAAATAAACTAGACATATCGCTAGTTATGCCAAATTTTATTATTATTTTATTTGATTTGTTTTTTTTTATAATTATAGTTTTTGTAGACTTATGACAGACACTTTTGAACATTAAGTAAGGAAAAACCTCGTTATATGCCAGTTAGGCCATACACTTTTTTATATTATTACTAGCGAGTCACTCGTGCTCCGTTCAGGTTCGTTTTTACGGTTAGTATAGATTTTTCAGAGATGACATATTTTCCCGCAGTAAGAAGTATCCTATATATTGACCCGGATAACCAGCTATCATCATACCAAATTTCATTAAAATATATCCAGTGCTTTTCTCGTGATGCGTTCCCAGACAGATAGACAGACAAAAATCCTAAAAACTACAGGTTCGGCCTCTGTATCAGTAATACCTAATGACTATTTCAACAAGATTTTCCAAAAAATATTTAATGTACAGATTCGACTCCGTTAGAATTTTATTGTATGTATGTATGTTTTCTTAGCTTTTTCTTTTATAGCATACCTAAGAATTTACGGAATTTTAATACATTTTTTATTTTTTTTTAATACACATTATTAAGACTATTTTTTATTATTTCGTACGTATTTTTTTTCTTTTTCTTGCAGGTAACAAAATTAGATGACTTGAGTCCAGTCATCTTTTTGAATAGAACGAGAGCGACTCTTAATTGTGCTGCAGGTTCTATGCAGGTTAGTCGACAATATGCAGGAACGTGGTTTGAAATTATAAGCAAAACTTACACAGCAAATCACTTTAGTAAAGTCGTTTCAATGTATATATAAATCTGTCATACAATAATAATATAATTATACATTGATATTAATATTAAAGATTTTTGTTTGTTTAAATGCATTAATCTCTGGAACTTAATGATAAAATACAACACTAAGATTAACTTCAATAAGCTCAACTTTATGCCATAAACTATGTTTGAGCTTATTTATATAAGGCAGTAACTACGAATTTAATTAATTAAATGTAAAAAAAATGACATTCCTCAGTTATCTTGGTGGAAAATAAATATATAAACATAAATAAATATGTTGGGATATTAACACACAGTACCATCTAGTTCCATGGTGCTATGAGGCTTGTGTTATGGATACCAGATAGTTGATACACATATATAACTTAAAAACATAGATATTATAAATATAAACCCATGACTGGAGTACAAACATTCGTGCTCATCACACGAATGCCTCCAGCGGGATTCGAATTCGCATTTAAGGTTCAGTTTACGTTTTTTAATATTTATTTTCAATTGATGACAGTTTTAAGAGAATTTTTGTATGGGATTACGTATCTAGTACTTTTTTGATCGATGGTTATAAAAGCTTTATTTCCATTTAGATCGAACTAAAATTCAATGAGAAGTTCTACGGCATCGCGTACGCCGACTTTGATCGTCATTCCGCGTGTCAAGTCGCGGGTAAAGGCGCCACTTCGTACAAACTAGAGCTACCATTGAAAGGATGCGGTACAAAACAGGTGATTATAATATTATATAATAGCAAATATCTTTTTATTTGAATAGTATAAGAAGAATTGTAAAATATATTTATTGGTATTTTACTAAGAAATATTTTTTTTTATTTTCGACGTTTCAGAATAAATTCGTGTTAAAATTACATACAAATATTCGTATTAGTAAGAAAAAAGAATCTTTTACACTGTTGAACGCTTTAGTACACTTGTTTGAAATTATTAAATTAATGCATAAATTTAAAGAAAATTATTCGAAAATTTGAAAATTTCAAAGAAAATTAAAAAATGGACTTTTTCAAAAAAAAGCAATTAATTATTTATTTCTTCTTTTTTATAAAAATACATTCATACGTCTATGTATTTTTTTCCAGGATCCTTTACGAGTATTCACTAACAACATAGTGGTGCGCTTCCATCCCGGTCTAGAGATGGATGGGGATGAAGTGATCACAATCGTATGCCGCTATCCGCCTCCAATTGTGCCAGTTTTCCATCCGTTTATTCTTACGTGAGTTTTAATTTTTAATTTTTAAATCTACTAGTGACAGGAGGGTTGGCGCATTTTTCGCCCAAAGAATCGGCATTGCCATTCAACGGGGGAATGCGGCTAGCATTCTTGCCACTGTTCCACTTGGACATAGATTAATTAAATATAATACTACTTCATATTTAGGTAAATACTGTATAAAAGTTTCCAGTAGAATGAAAATGGATACCTTAATAACTATTTTGCAAGGCTCAATATCGATACCATCAGTATGTCAAACGTTATCTGATTGGACGCCACTCGCTACTTCGCTATTGTAAATTATATTGTTCTCAACATCCTTCAAAGCATCCGAACGTGGAATTATTTACTTTTTTTTAATAATGAGTAAATTATAATTACGTATAAGCTTTTCGACCAACTATAAAAAATAATAGAAACTCGATTCGTCTGTATTTTTGGGGATATCTATTTTTATAATTATTTTTTTTATGAATAGAGCTGGTTTTATATTTATTTAGAAAAGTTCAATCCCAAGGGTGGGATACTACCAATTAAGTGATTTTAGAATTTGGTCTAGGTACTTTAATTTTTAAGCGAAATATTTCGTAGATAATAGCGATATTATAATACCATTTCTCTCGCTTTGCCCTTAGTATATGCAACAAAAGGATAATAAATAAAGCAATTACATTGACTTGCATTGTAAAAAAATTGAAAAAGTATTAGAAATAATTAATAATCTAATATATAAATATTTCATGTCACGGTGTTTGTGGTCGCACTCTCCGAAACGGCTCGACCGATTTTAATGATATTTTTTTTTATATTTGGTAGGTATGAGAATAGGTCGTAAAGTATTTTTCACCCTACTACCCCCACTGCTCATTTTCTAATCGCGATTTTAGTATTTTTGTATGAACAATATTATATAAATACATAGCTATATAACATAAAGCCTTATAATATATGTATTTTTTTTGTAGATTAAACGCGGGCGTAGCCGCGAGTTCTGCTAGTCATTAATAATAATGACAGTTGGTCTAACATATTATTCTCTTTATGATATTGGTTTCATTTAGTTTATTCTTCTATACATTCCTTATACTCGTTGAGTATACTGTATACTTCTTTACATATCCATCGTTTCTTCCTAACAGGCCAGAAGCAACAGGACCATTGCCAGCGAAAGCCCCATTGGCTGGAACACATATTCTTATGATAATTTGTGCCATACTATTCCTAACTCTACTACTCCTCGGCCTGGGAGTATCATACTTGTGTTTGAGAAGACGAGCTCTACCGGCTCCAAGAAGACTGATTGATGATTCGTCTGCCTCTATCATTAGTAGGGAGAGTATACAGGGTAAGTTTAAAAGATACCTTATGTTACTACTATTTTTAGTCCGAATGATATATTTTTAGTAAAAAACAATCATATGGAAAATCTTGAAAATTAGAAAATTCGGGAGAAACTTAAAGTATATTTTTCTATACATTTTTTTACATTTTTTGTCTACAAAGATTGAAACAAAATAAAGTCTGCTGGGTCCACTTGTCTATCCACAATATAAAATACGTTCCTAAACCACTCATCTGGTTGTGTTAAAACTTGGTGAGCTGCTTTGCGTATGTCTACGATGGTATCTGGCTTAAAAAAAGATTTTATATGTACTTCTGTCCTCTGTGTGTTCCTAAGCCATTTAATTCTAGAGATACTAATCCAATCCTAAATAGCTAGTGCTAAATTAAATTTAAATTAAAAACAACAATTTAAATTAAATTGCTAGCGCTAAAAAGATTGATTTTAAATTAAAAACAGAAGTAAAAATCCCCCGCGCCCACCCCGTGTACCCGGCGGAGAGCGCGTCTGTCGCGTCCGACACGCTCCCCTCCGACTACCCGTCGGAGACGCCCAGCGAGGCGGAGCACGCGCACACCAACCAAGGGTTCCTGGTTGATGAGTACCAGAGCGAGGGTGAGTTGGGGCTATTTGTGCTATATTAATTTAAATGTCTTTTTTTTAATAATTATAATGTGATTGAAGCTAATTGAAATTAAATGTTGTTGAATTAGTAACACTTGAATAATATACATTTTTACAAATAATATTACATGTGCTGTCAATTAATTTTACAATATAATTTTTAATAATTAAACGCCTATATCACACCACATACTACACTAAAATAAAAAGGTTTTATCAAAGAAAAAAAATCTGTAAACTAAACACCTAACAAACTAACAGGTTACGGGGAATCCCACGAGGCTTACTCACGTATGCACGCACACGCAGGCGGCCCCGCCTTCGACGTGCGCGTGCGCGTGCAGCGCCCGCCCGCGCCGCCCTCGCCGGGCTCCACCATCACCACTACTGAGGTGGACGGCGGCAGCATGAGGTGAGATATACACACAAATACACACACACACAGACATACATACACATACACACAGGCGTACATAATTATTTATGTACATACCTACTTATATACTATTTGACAAGGATACCGGTAACATTTTTTGGTCCATTGGTCTTACAAGTTTACAAGTTCGACTGTCAAAAGAGACGTTCTTATAGTGCTTTTGTATTACTTCTGGCAAGCGTTCCACTGCTGAGCACGAGCCTCGCTTCATAGAAAATGGATCAGGCTAGGTTCTCTTAGACCCACAGGTTACGTCATGATGTTTTCCTTGATGATCGGTAATTATATTGTGTTGCACTCGAAAGCGGTGTGCATGCTTTACTTTGTTTTCCAAACGATCAAGTGGAGACTGGAGTAAAATATAGGATACTATTAATAAAAAAATGCCGAAAGTTCAATATAACACAATATATTCTTATCGAAAATCGAATTCATGATCTTCAATGTACTATACGCATCAGACTAATATTATAGGTGAGTGAGGTTATATTTTTACGCTGTAATAAATGAAATTCGTTATTCGGAGTATAGCTTATTTTTTTTTTGCTCGACTTGGCGGGGGTACTGCCGTGCTCCCCGATATTCTGGATATGGGCTATTTTTATTGATGCTCGCTCAAGTCGTGGATAAAACTCACATAAATATTTAACGTCGATGACACTTAGCGATATCTAGGAGTGACAGACAAACACTCACACTAGCCCCATCCTCATCCTCCCCAGACAAACAGGACTAGAGGAGCACGAGCGTCAAGAGTCGCTCCGCACGGTGTCCCCCGGCGCGCTGCCGCTGCCGGCGCGCGCCGCGCACGCGCCGCCGCCGGAGCGCCCGCCGCGGCCGCCCGTGCTCTACAGTGAAGTTAGTCGCGATAGACAGGTATGATATTAGCAGTTTAAATAATATATTTGGTTTATTCTTTGCACAGGTATATTATTTGAGACCTAAGGCGTTTTAGGTCTTACAAAATGTTTGATGTTACGGGGTGAAATTCCTTCGAGTAAATGGACTATGCAATGCACATTAGATTTAATTTTTAATTTTGTTAACATGTATTTATTAATTATTATGACATTTTTTGTGCTTCTTATTCTTTCGATTATTTCTGTTACTATGAAAAAAAAAATTGGGATGCTAGAGCAATTTTGTTTAAATATATTTAAATTAATAAAGATATTTTATTGACATTAGGAACAAAACAATGGACATAGCAGCAAATTAGCATTTAATCGACGTCATATCTAAAATTTCATCCGTAATAGTTCTATGACATTTATAAATAGATATAATATTTTAAAAACAGGAAGGAAATAATACATATGTAGGTATATTTGAAGAAATACCTTTACGTTTACTTACTACCTTACCTTTATAGTTAGTACCAATTTTATTTTGCTTTCGAATTTGGATAAATATTTTTTTTAAGCAAGGATATCTTAAACAATAAAATATTTAATTAAACATCTTAGTCTCTCTCATGACCATATTTGCTGTAAAGCATTCAAAAGGCCGGGAAATAAAATAAAACCGCGACAAAATTCTGTTGCTCGTTTACTCATCACAATCAATCATTTATTATTAACAAATAAGGTGGGATCAAATTGCACTCTATCATAGTTTGTGATAATACGTTCTTACAATGTCTTAACAACATCTTTGACATCACCTTGTTCTATACTTCTCTTATAATGTCTTACTTCTTACTGACTTTTTAAAGAAGATTATTTTTATTATTAAAATAAGCATAATGGCAAAGAAATTATAGCCATATTATAATCATTAAAAACAAATCGAGACTTTTTATGCTACTTCAAAAGTTACTTAGTTTTGTTTTTTTTAATTTGGATAGAACTTTCAACCAATTGTCGTCTTGGTTCTTATTTGTCCATACGACCAATTTGCCGAAAGAGCTTTTAATACAAAACTATTGACTTATGGTAATAAACGCATTTTATTTTAATAAAGTCGATAAAGTGTATGTTATCTATATATGTATGTATATAAATTATAAATCTTAGATATAAAGCTTTGTTTTTAAAATAGCGAAACTCTCTACCATAAAGTATTGGTCGTTTGAACAAATAAGCACTAAGGCGACGTAATGAAGTTCAAATCATGTACTTCAAATGAATGTTTCATATACATGTTGTCATGAACGAATTGTGGCTAATTCGCTCATGCATGTTGTATACTAACCATTGATATATAAAAACATAGATACACACTTCCTAACAAATATTTCTCAAAAAAATAGCGTTGACATTTGACGTTAAGTTAAACTAAAGAATTAAATTCAAAAATCGAAAGTTCTATTTGTGTAAACACAAATTAGAACTTACTCACACGACATAAAGTACTTTTTTAAACGAAACAACATGCGTCTTAATTTTGTCATTCGAAAAGCAATGAACAAAAGAGATTTGATAAAAGCGCATATCATCGAATAGTGCGCTTCTTTGTGAGGACACTTTTGAGGCGCTAATTGTGCATGTTGAGTTTTTGTATATCAATGATACTAACATAACTATAAGTAACAAATTCAAACAAACAAACGAACAAACAAACAATCACATGACCGCACATCATCACATAGCACCAGGAGTGGGCGCGCCGCCCCCGCTCCATCGCGTCGCTCAACACGGAGATGACGGACACGCACTCCGTCACCGAAGTCACTGACAGGTCGCACGCGAGAATGTTCCACATCAAGGTATACCGTGACTTTGCGACATTTGTGCAATTTGCTGGTGGCTTTAGAGCATGCTCGCTTTATTCACGATCAGGGTCAGGGTCAGGGTGAAGTCGGCACGATTATCATAGTGTAAAAATCCATACAGTATGTACTTAATTTTAACGAAAATCTCGCTAAATGCAAGTTGTCCAAAATACCAAAATCATATACTGGCATGTTATAATTTTAGCAGACAACCCTAAAACCGTTTCCGGATTATCATATAAGAGTACGTATGATAGTCGGGAGCGTTTTACCTTGCACGCCCTGCAATATAACCCTGTCTAGCCACCTTTTCCTTAGAACCACTGTATGGATAAGTAGACTGCTGTTTTTATTATGAATTAAGCAATTTTAATGTATCTCCATTCTATCTCTGATAGTATCAACAATATAAGTTTTTACATTAAAAACATACGCGAGTTCTAAACTGTAAAAATTGTTTTATTCATGGTCTATCTATCACCTTCATCCATCTAACTGAATCATCTGAAATAGTAGGTATTTGCACAAAGAAAAAATTATTGGTTTATATAAGTAGCAATTTTTATATATTATTATTATAACATCGGCAGTAGCAATAGGCTTATTAGAATTTGCAGGCTAAATGATGACGCTTAAGTAAGCTAAATTATGCTTGAATAGTACCAGTAATACTGTATTATAAATTTAACAAATAAATTTGCTTATTATGGTTAGCCGTATTACAAGAGCTTGTTATGGTGTAGGCGTTTTTATAAAGAAATATTAAATAAATTTAAATTATGTAGAAACCGCCTCCTCCGCCGCCGGTCATGACCGAGCGTCTGCAGACAGAGGAACAGGAGATGTTGATGGAGAGCCTCGAGCCCATATCTGAAACACCCATCATGCCGGCTAGGTGAGTGGAATAATCTACAAATATATCTATTCTAGCCGACCTTTTGCTATAGGCAGACGTTGTCTTTGTCTTGGCATAGATCTCGTTGGTTGGAAAATTAAAAAAAAATACTTTGTGATAACAGAGTCGTCTATTGAATTCAACTGTAGCTAAGAACCGTCCAAGTGACCACATAACTAAACAAAAAATCCGTTTAGGAAGAGGAGAATTGAGAACACACGTACGTACACGTGATTTCTATTATAAAGATGACAGAACTTTGCTAAACATCTACTACTGAAGATTTCGTAATTGACATCGAATAAAAATAATTTTGTTAGATTTGTTTTATTATAGCAAAACCCGTGGCATCGCTCGCGCTTAAATTACAAAAAAATACTTTTTTGATTTATGCTATCAGTAATAATGTATGGAAGTCTACCGATTTGTTGACATTTATGATTACTGTTCCGCTCCCTATGCCTATATATACTATAGATTTTCTCAATAAACGGGCTATCTAATGCAAAAAGAATTTTTCAAACCGGATTTGTAGTTCCCGAGATTAGCGCGTTCAAACAAACAAACAAACTGTACCTCTTTATAATATTACGAGTATATTAATATATTAGTATAGATATAGTATACAACACTACAATATTTTACAGAAAACCAGAAATAACCTCCCACGTGGTAGATGACGTGTTCCTAAGAACAATAACCGAGAAGAAGACAATAGAAGACATCGAGCGTCACAAGCGTCTGGTTACAGAGTACCGCCAAGTTCCTCAAGCACCGCAGTTTGACGTAACCATCCGTAACCACACGATGCCCGAAGCTCAGTGGGAGAACTTCTCAGATATTAGCAGTGCTTCTGGCATGACATTGACTCCGAAGATGGAAAGGGTCCCGTTGTCTTTGCCGCCTCAGAAGTTTATTGGTGAGTTTTTAATAATTAGGGAAAATATTTTTTTATGTACACTAATATTTGCTCGCCGTTTACTCTTATAGTTTTTATATGTGTAATGTTAGCTTAGTACTTTCCTTAATTAGATTGGAAGTTTCAGTGATTAGCGCTTGAAACAAACTGAAAAGCTATTTATATTTATATTTATTTTTATATACAAATTTTATGGTCCAAACGTTTACAGCATCACTTAAAATCGACATCACTGCAAGAACTATTGTGCGACGAGCTTCTAGAGCAATATAGCGACATGATTTTTCATGATTTCACTAGTTAATTCCTCTACGATATGTTTCTATAAATAATAATGTTTAATATGAAACACTCTTCATACACTAAGCAGATGGGTTTCGGATTTCGGATCTTAGATTATTACTATTCTAAAACTCCAATTCACACTAATACCATTCTAACCAGGTAAAGGCGGTCCAGACCTTTTCTCTCCGGAACTAATAAAGCAAACCGGCGCAGTGTACCCCCACCCTTCCTCCCCCGACCTCCCCCTGCTCCCCGAGCTCCCCCCCGCGCGCAACCCCCTCTACAGGGAGGAGGATGATGAAGACGTTCCCGAACCCAACCCCGCTCCACCCGTGCCCGCTAACTGGAGTGTTCTCACCAGGGTGTTGAAGACTGAAGCGCAAGATGAGGTAATTGGTGAAATATATTAGTGAAATGGACAATAAATATTGAATTCAATTTAAAAATATGTTTGTAACAACTAAATAATAATATAATCAACCTTTGAAACGTCCATAATCTTAATCTTTCCCGTGACCATGTGCGCTGTAACGCATTCGAAACGTCGGGAACCAAAAAAAAACAAAATAAATTCGTGAACAAATCTGACAACATTTATTTTAAAATGGTTAATAAATATTGTTACTAGTTTATTAACTATGGTTAATTGTAGTGAAAATTGTTTATTTGATTAATTTAAATATGATATGACGGTCGTCGAAAATATTTCTTTTTTACTTTTCAATGATACTTTTGTAAAAAATATATTAAAAATATATTACTTTTGTATACTTCATAATTTATCTGTATGATGCGTTTGATAATTTTTCCTTGAATATATTGATATTTGCTAACAAAATTAAAATTTATTTGATTGAATACAAATCTGTACATTTCTTTCCATTCAAAAAATAACGAAAAAATAAGCTGTAATATACGAACATAATATAGCCGGATGATTATTATTTTTATTAATTGAACCCTAAAAACGAGATTGTTATAAAAATGAAAAAAATATATGTTTAACTGGTAACATTATAATACACAGGTGCTATCAGAAACAGAGCGCGCGTACCGTCTCACCCGGTCGGAGCGGCTCCGCTGGCGCGAGCTGATCGCGCACGAGAGCACGCTGCGGCGGGAGCTGGCGCGCGCCAGCACGCGCGAGGAGTTCACGCGCGTGGCGCACGACCATCGCTTCGCGCCGCTCTACGAGCCGCCCAAGTGGGAGGTCATTATACGGATACTGGCACCGCCACCGGACAAGCCTAAGGTACCACCCTACATATATTCAGCCCTTTTTAACGTCCCACAATACACAATTCTTCAAATACAAAAGAAATAAAGGGGGGTAGGTAGGTGAAATATACTTTACAATCTATTCTCAGACCTACCAAATATATAAAAAAAAATCATTAAAATCGGTCGAGCCGTTTCTGAGGAGTGCGACCATAAACTCTGTGACACGAGACATTTATTATTTACTAACGACTCACCCTCGCTTTGCTCAGGTTCGTCCCTAGCTTGATTCCAGCCATAAAAACTTTCATCCCCCTTTTTACTTCCTTAAGGGATAATTTCCTTGATAAAAAGTATCCTATGTCCTTACCAGGGTCTCAAACTGTTTTCTTAACTATTTTCTTACCTTTCATCTAAATCGGTTCGGTAGATCCATAGATTACCCCCTACGACGTCACAACCTCACAAACTCACAAACTTAGCCTCTTAATGATATTAGTGTAGATATATAATATTTACACAAACAAATAACATCCCAGAATCGCTACCGCAAGAAGACCGAGTGGGAGTCGCGGTCGCGGCGCTCGTCGCTGCCGACGCTGTACGAGTATGACAGCGACGCGGCGTCGCTGCGGGAGCCGCCGCGCTCGCGCCGCTCCTCCTACCGCAGCGACCACGTCGACATGCGGTGAGCACACTACATTCATACATACATTGAGTTCATGCTACCCTGGTACTTTTGTAGCTTTTCTGATATATTTTTTTGAAGAAAATCCAGAATCTCAAAGAATTTAATACAGCCCTTACAATTTTTAAGCCTTTTTCTAAAAAAAAACAATTGATAGAGTTTATGCTACCCTGGTAAAAAAAACTCAGATTTCTGCTTCCTTTCCCTGTAATAATGGACAATAACTTCATTGGTATCATCTGTGCGTAATAAATACTATTCTAGGAATTTAAGTTCCATATCCCAAGAGTTACTGATATTTTTTTATTATTTACTAGCGGAAGCCCAGACAAAGGAAGACAGTGGTGTTACATCTATTTTTTTTTGTTTAGAAAATAAGCTATAGCCCTCCAGACTAGCAAATATATGGTTTGATAAACTTCACATCTTTTTATACATTTATTTATTTAAATCTGTAGAATATATATATATGGACATCGGTACATATGATACATTCATATACATTTATTTACTTTATATTTATTTACTTTACTGCAGGTTTCCCCATGATGCTCTTTGCCGTCTTAGCAAGTGGTAATAATTCGTTTCCAATGAAAATATTAGAGCTTAAGTTCGATATTGAACGAGTTACTAATTGGCTAATTAGTCTACACTAGATTGTTTACTAAGAGCATTAGATATCAAAAGTGAGATATTAAGATATTCAATGTGGCGTCCATTCCAGGTCGATGTCTGAGATGATGGTGGACTACGCGCGTGAGCAGGCCGACACGCACTCCGAGGTGTCCGCCGGCACGCTGCTGGGACGCTACTACGACGACGACAGCGACTCTGAACACCACTACCATCAGAATCCGTTAGTATAATAAGAGTCAGTGTACCCCTACCCTTCCTCCCCCGACCTCCCCCTGCACCCCGAGTATATAAATTAGTGATTGCTCCGTGGTTGAAATTCAACCATAATTAAGTTTGACCCATATTGAGGTTCCTTTTTCAAAGTTATATAGATAGCCCATAAAATATAAAATAATTTTGCAATAAAATAAAAAATAACATGCGCGGCACAGCAAGTACAGTCACTACAAACTGAGCCAAACGTGTCGTGTGCGTTGCCTGAATATTTCTTAAAAATCACTCCAGCGGTTTTGGAGTTCATAGGGAACATACCTACATACACATGATTTTTATATATGTATGATGTATATATAGATTAGATATTAAATATCCAAACTCAACCACGGCAGGTCGTGGCGCCACTCGCTGCACCGCAGCGCGAGCCAGCCGTCGCTGGCGCGCTCTACCGGCGAGCTGATGGAGACGTGGGCGGCGCCCGACGGCGACCTCACGCCCACACCCGGGCGCAGGATCAGAGGTGAGTACTGGTGTCTTTAGGGACAAGGACGAGGACAAGGAGGTTGGCTGTGTCCTTGAGGATTGTTGAACAGATATGACAGAATTATTAATGTTAATGACCTAAAGGGCCTTTAGGTTTTTTTGATAATTTATTTTTTTGTTTTTTTTACGCAGTCGGTTTTATTATTGTAATTTATTTTATTGTAGCCAAGGAATTTCGATGATTTTTTGTCCTTTTTTAAATATCCATCTATCTAATTAATAAATCTGTGACAAATTGAACGGTTAGTATAGGTTTCTCAGAGATCCCCCCCAACGTGCGTTCACCTTGTCGTGGTGGGGGGGCTCAGTAGTGCCCGGCAACCCAACCGGGCGCGAAGCCAAGAAACGCACAGGGAGGTGACCCAATTCGGTGGGCGGTGGGAGGTGGCCCTCTTCGGAGGGCGGTGTACTATGCGGGTTGCTCCTGGTACTTCTCTGATAGCAGAGTGGACCTTGGAGTAACCCCATGGTTGTGGTGGTCTGCTTCGGCAGACCTGCCGTCGGGGCGTCGTAGTTGAATGCGTAAGCGATCCTGCGACGCCCCATTAAGACGGGGGAAGGCTTTGTTGGGTTTTAGTGGGTAGTACTGGCTTTGCCGGTGAGTCCCACACCTCGTGCGTAAATGCATTTCCCAACGTTAAAAAAAAAAAAAAAGGTTTCTCAGAGATGAGATATTTTCCCGCAGTAAAAAGTATCCTATATGTTGACCCGAATAACCAACTATGGTCATACCAATTTTCATCAAAATCCGTCCTGCGGTTTTCTCGTTTGCGTTCCTAGGCAGACAGACAGACTGAAAACTATATATAAATTCGGCCTCTGCATCGATAATAATGACTATTTCAATAAGATATTCCAAAAAATATTTAATGTACAGATTCGACTCAGAATTTTAATTATATGTATAGATTTCAAATTAACAGCTTACAGGTAAATTTTATTTATACCTTTAGGTGCTCAAGGGGTTACTACTTTCACGTCATCTGAAGTTCGCACGTTCCAAGCGTCGAGGGAATGGAAGGAATGAAATTGACAAAGTCCTCACAAATCAACGAATCATATTAAATTTTTGAAATAAATTGGAATTAAAGTATATGGATGTTTGAAGTAATTGACGATATATATACATAAAAAAATATAATATAATATACAGGGCCATTTGCAGGATTTTTTTATTTTTAATCTTTTATAATTGTTTAGCAATTTGTTTACTAAACACATTTAAATTTTACAAAAATTATGTATTTGACTCTAACGGTGTAGATGTGGAATAATGATTATAAGTGATAAACCACACTGCCTTACAATATGACAATCTTTTTTTATGTCTTGAGACATTATTAGACTAAAATAGTAAAATAAAATTTATAAAAAGCATCCATAAGGATTGCCGACAGAAGTGAAAACTTTAAACTATAAACAAACAGTTGTTATTTTTTCATATTCAAATTCATTGTTTGATTTTAAATTAAAATATGTAAATTAAAACTGTTTACATATATCTGGTTTTGACATCTATCGGCACTCTGAGTGTTAACACGTCACGTGACCATGTCGATGACGACTTACATGAATTTACTCCCCCCATCCAAACCTGCCTATAGAAGTTTTCACTTCGAAAAGTCATTATTTTTTTAAATAGTCATACATTAAAATAAAAAATGTACAAATTGTACTCAATAATTAAATTTAAAAAGAAAAGTTTCTTAAGAAATTCACTTTTTTAAACCGTCCATTATTTTAAGTAAATTAATAATAATAAAATTTACATTTGTCTAAAATTAACAATTTATTAACATTAGGTATAATGAAAATCGGTGGTTTTTATTTTAATGTTTTTTTTCCATAGAAATTCTATATATAAAGTATAAAACCTAGCAGTACAATATAATTTTGTTTTATTATTAATTCTTTTACAAAAAGTAAAAAAAATATAAATATAAATATAATAGTTCTGAATGAAAATGCCATCAAGTTATATAGATTACTTTTTTATATAGAGTATTTTCTTTTTAATAAGTAAATATTAGTAAATAAGTTGGAATTATTTGCTTCTACTTTAGTACAGTTAATAAAGATATGTTTTAAATATATATAAAAAAACGTGTCTGTGTAGGTACTTATGTACGCACGTAAGAAGTTATACTTCTTTGGCGTAACAGAACAAAAATAGCTAAAGATTTCATCTCGTATGTCACAAATCTCGGTTTGTAAAAGGAATGCAGCTAACTTCATCATGTTGCTTTTTGGCTGTCGGTGCATAATTTTTTTCAAACGTGCCAAAAGAAGTATAACTTCAAAAATATAAAGTTTTATTCTTATATTTTCATATCTTACAATAGTATAGTATGTAAAATAGCAAAATGAAAAAACATCAATTTATTTACATTTTTTTATCATTATAATTTTTTTTCTAACGTGCCAAAATTGTGTAGCTTCCTAACAAAATGCTTAAATCCAAATTTTTGCTATTTTACTTTAAGACATTTGAATCTCTTATATTCTTATATTTTTAACTGCCAGTGTTTCTAATTTAGTTGTAAATATATAAAAGGAGGAATAGCAAAGACCTAGCAGCTGAGGCAAGGCGTGCACCATTTTTAATCTGTATCTTTTATTTGCACATTTTTAAATAAAGGCAAATTTATCTGTGGTTTTTAAAAAAAATGTTTGCCTATGATTTAAAAATTCCCTTGCCTTGATTGCTATGTGTGAGTGGGATTTATTGGGTATGGTAACTTCAGTGCTCAAGATGTACTTAAAATGATGTAACTTTTTGAAAGAATATGTTATCTATAGATATGTATATCAAATATGCAGGGTGAATTTTTCACTGACAACCAATTCAAACTATAAATAAATAAATAAATGGTAATAATATGTAATGGTAATAAAATGACATCTAAAACACCTTTTGGATTTTTTTTTGAAAAAAATATCTCAAAGCCAATCGATCCCGTTTTTTTTAAATAAGAAAAACACGAGTTGGAAAGTAAAATTTACCCTGTAATGAAATATTTTTATATTTTCCACCATAAAGCTTGTCAGTCTGGTACCGACTGTTGCAATAGATTCTGTGGATTCGATTCCACTAAAGAATGTTTGTGTTAATAATATGGAGTTTAGATAGCAGGAGAACGATATTTATATTCCCTATTTTTAAATTAAAAAAAACTAAAATTTTTCATTTTTAATTAATTATATAAGATTAAATTTGAGTATCTGTTTCAAGTTTTTTATAATAATTTAATTTGCATCTGATTTTTTTTTAAATTTTTCATTGAATTTTATTTCTAAAATACATTTCATTATAGGATCGTTCTTCTCTAATCGCCATGTTTATACGACATTTGTTACTCTCGTACTGCGAACAACAACAACTTCGAAAACGGAGATAGAAAGAGACAGAGCTATACGATTTATGCTCTCTCTCTGTCTATCGCACGAGAAAAGGCGGAGGTTAAACAATAATAAGTGGAACAATTAATGACAAATTATATAATATAGTGGTGCTAAGGAACTACGTAAAATGAAATAACATGAGCGATATAAATAAAATAATAATATTTGTAATATTTACACCCTGATACATATTGTATTGATAACTTTAAACAATATACGTGCCTTAACAATTATTATTTGTTTTATTTCAAATACACTATCAACGCCGACTGATTTAGTGCAAACATTGAACAATTCATTAGATAAATATTTAAATCTACACTGATATTATAAAGAGGAAAGATTTGTATTTTTGTAACGAATAAACTCAAAAACTACTGGACCGATTTAGATGAAATTTGGTAAGAAGATAGTTTGAGACCCTGGAAAGGATATAGGTAATTTTTTATTTCGGAATTCATCCCTTTAAAATGGGGACAAAAGTTTGTATTGGGAATCAACCTAGGGATGAAGTCGAGAATCGAGGGTGAGTCACTAGTTAAAATAAAGATAAAAGTAAAATAAAAATAGTAATCATAAAAAATAAATAGTGTAATAAGTAAATGGGTAACAATTTATATGAATTTCAAAATGGTTGTTTGTTGAATGTTTTTCATTATCCCATTTTCAAAAAACATTTTAACTATAGGTAAAAATGAAAAAAAGATGCAGAAATTTAAGAACTTTATTCGTGACGTCGGAAATGAGATACAAACGACAAGTTAAAAGTCACCCTTAGGTACAATATTGTTAAAAATAATAAATTCGAAGTTTCATTCAAATACATTTCTAATGATCTAATAATAATCATTATTAGTAGATAAAAACATTGATCACTTTAAGATTCCGAAGAGAAGCGAATCACAAATGTTACTTATTTCGCTATATATTATTAAAACTTCCTCAAAAACGAAATCTAACAAAACTATTCTGAAACCAAAGAATACAAAATAATAACTACATATACACATAATAATATTGTACAACAATGAGGTGTATGAAAGACATTAATTTTCCAATAGTCAACAGCGTTACAAGAAAATCGCTAAAACAACTATTATACAAAGATAAAGCCTTTTCAAAAAAAGCTTATCCGCTACTGCTATATGTACATCTATATAAGAGAAACTTTTAACCGCGACAGTTCTTACACAAGTTAGGCCTTATAGTGTCTACGGTAGTTAGATCAACTTCTTGGTTTTCTACCTACGATATGAAGTTGTTGACAGGTCCCTTTCGTTAAGATTTGGCAAATCCTTTCACATCTGGCAATTTTGGCATCATATACCCATACATTTCTAAAGTCGCCCTAAAAATTTAAGTTCTTTACACATCTACTCCTGTACCGTCTGGTCCATGTTTAATTTCAACACTGTCACTATCTACTCGTTTAATATTCCTTGTATACTTGCCTACGTTACCAATAAGTATAGACGTTGAACACTTATACTTTTGTTAAAGTCTTTTAGTCTTATATTTGGCTGATGGAGCCGAGTGATTGACGTCTTCTGGTCACTTGTTTCCAGAATCGTTTCTCGAAATGTTTCTCCTGCAAGAATATTTTATTAAATACGATTTTATTTATAATAAAATTGTTAGAAATTTTATTGAAAAATTCATTTCCATTATAAACGTGCTTGTGATTTGTTTCTAACATCTTCCCAATGTGCTGATGTGTGTTAATATCTATTAATTACTATAATTCTATCTTCTATTTATTATTTCTAAGAATTGAAAATTTGTGAGAATATAAATAATAAAGTTACACTATCCGATAAAGTAGGAAGGAAAGCATAGCAGCGGGGTGAATGAAAAGCGAAATGGATTTCATTAGAAATATATTTCAAAACATCCCATAAAAATGGACAGATCAGTTCAGTAAAATAAAAATGAAACATCTAAAAATTTAAGCTGGATTTAAACACTAGATAATAAGCAAGAACAATTGACAAAATATTTTAGTGCAAGATCCAATAACAATTAATTTAAGTTCGAAGTCAATTTCGATAAACACACTTAACTAGATTATATTATTAATTTAACAATTACGTTTGAACGTCTAAATGTAAAAGGCAATTGTATAATTGTATTGGCCGACCAACGTTTATTCATCTACAAAAACTACTAAAATCTTGGCAATATCAAGAATGTACTTCAGTGAATTCTTGGCACACCAGATTTTTTTGACTAAGATTAACTAATATTGAATTATTGTTACAACGTCTAAACTTTAGTCAGACTTGAGATGAATTGCTTAAATATTATTTCATTTAATTAGATTAATATATTGAATTTGTAGGAGATTACTTGTTATTTCCAAAACATTCTTATATTACGTACAACTACAATAATGGTAAAAACGGTTTAAATCCAGCCGATTTTAAGGCTGTTATTGACTGCATTAATTCAAGTTATTCAAACTACTCCTTAAAGTATGGATCGCATACTTATATGGATGGAACAAAGTTAATATTTTATACTAACTATTAGTCTACTAGCGGCTCACCCTCGCTTCGCTCGGGTTCGTCGCTAGGTACGTTTTAAATAGATATAAAAAGAAAAAATCTTTCTTTCTTTAATTATATGTTTTAATACTTACCTATTCCGGACTAAGAGAAATCCAAAAATTAAAATATCATAAAAATTGGAACGCGGTCGAACGGGATAAAAAGTATCCTATGTCCTTCTCCTGGCTCTAAACTACCTCCCTGCCAATTTTCAGCTAAATCGGTTCAGCCGTTCTTGAGTTATAAGCGAAGTAACTAACACGACTTTCTTTTATATATATAAGATTAGAGAATCTTAAAAGGTAATTGAGAACTTACGTTAGGCCAATATTTTGAAGTCAGTTCAAATCGTACTTACAAGTGAAATTAATAATTATTTTTATTATTAAATTTAGAATGCAATCAACAACCAGATATTAGATAAAGCACATTAAGCCGCAGGAATATATGACTTATAGTTTAAAGTTTAACAGCATCGCAAATTTTGAAAATCCTTATCATAACTAACAAGTTTTGTTTCAAAGACTCATAACAGTTGTAAAGATTTCGATCTTGAAACTAGCTATTGATAAATTTTAACAAGAATTTGTATTCTTATTTTACACGTTATCAAATATACGAAATAGAAAATTGAAATGCAATCAACAACGACCAAAATACAAAAATGGATTCCAAACATGGCCAAAGCAAATTGTCATGGCCACAACTGACCAAGTTAAAATTTCTCTAAACATGATAGTTAAAATTAGTCTAGTTTATCAAATTTAATACTTTATTAGATTTACGCGAATGTTTGTCATTTTAAATAAAACTATCGTTTCGGAATATTTCGCGGATATATTTTGATTTTTGGTTTCCGACGTTTCGAATGCTTAACGATCTCTCCAAAATCAAAATAAATCCGCAAAACAAACCGAAAAGATAGTTTTATTTAAAAGTCATCAAATTTAGTCAATTATAGCCAACACAAGTATCTAGATATGGCCATTGACAAAGCATATCTTGTAATAGCTTTGGTTGCTCACAGAGCTACGGCGCGGAGAGAAGGGCCGCGCGTTCAGTACGAAGGGCTCGCGGCGCGGGCTATCGGACGACGCTCGACGACGAAGGAACCCCAATCTGTTATTATTTGTTGTAAAGTAAAAGTAATATACCCTTTATTGTACCTTCATTACAGAACAGAACATATAAAAATATAAACAGTAAAATGTTATAATAATAAATAGGTCCTAAGTCATTGTTCTCTTCCAGGAAATCTTATCGTAGCAGAAAAGCTAAAAAAAGGGAAGAGGCGTAGCGTGAAGATTATTTAAATAATATTATAATTATATAGCTGTGTTATTTTGTTTCATTATTTAAACTTTGCGTGTTTGATATTGTGGCCAACCTGACCAATGGCATAACGCTTAAACTAAATTTGAAATAAATTATATATAGAGAGGATTTATTTACTAGTATACTGATCGAGTATCTTGATCCAAAAGTTGATCTTAATATTGTTTCTGTCAAAAACGCTAAGATATGTAAAAAATCGAAAATAATTTGCCGAAGTTCTTACAATTTAGATATTAGATATATTATTATAATCGATATATGTATAACAATAATAAATATTAATAATCTCAATTTTCAAAGTAAATAAGTGTTTTGTAAATAACTTACATCTTCCCGTTCTGGCATTGAGAGCGCGTCCGCGAACGCATCGTCTGAGCTTCCGCTCGTGCCAGTTGCTCCATCTCCATAAGTTTCGCTTCTGTTTCTGGAGCTGAAATTTGTTTAATCATCTTGTAGTGTATTTTGTTCAATTATTTATTCAAATAACGCTTTATCATAATAACTAGTAAGGAATATAAAACATATAATAATAAGTTATGTTGAAAATATTCGAGAGCTCTTGACATTGCCTTTAGAATCGAATAGCTCAAATTATATATTTTGAACGTGAAATAACTAAATCATTATACAATATTAATTAAAGATGAGTTTCGAGTTTAACCCAAACAAATGAGCTAAACTCAGGCTACGGATTTTCATACAATTTTTACCAATATAAAGAGTGAAAGACAATAAATATATCTAGGAAGTTTATAATAATTTAGGCTACAATTTATAAGTATTGATATTTGTGAGTAATGTCAGAAAAACCGTCTCTTCTAAGGTAAGACCCTACTAGAACGAGGGTAAATGGCTAGAACTACATCAAAATATTAGTACAACAATGATCAACAGTAAAATAGATTTATAAAAGCACACCTTTCCAAGCATATACAGAACTGCGCGAAGTAGTATGCGGGGCGGTGCGACACAGCGTGACCGCGTCCGCGCTCGCCACGCGCCGCACCAGCGACCGCTGGCACGCCGCGCGAAACGACCAGTGGTCGCGCGCGCCACCCTGCGACCGTCGTATATTCATTTGCCATAAACACATAACAATAATGTCCTCCTAACAGATCTCAGCCGGTGGCCAATCTCACTGAAACTAGCCAGATGCGCAGGAGATATTATAGTGTACAAGTGTACGCTCAGTCACAACGTGCACTTTATATTCCTGTCACTCTCATACTCCGGTGGGATGACACGAGACACGGCCGCTGACAGTGTCGGCGCAGGACCGACGGCTTAACGTGCTCTGCCTCGGCACGGGGGTGAAACACCGCCAATTTCCCAATTCCGGGCTGTTATTGAGTACTTTTACGTTTTAACATTTACGATAGATTCCTTAGAGATAAGATATTTTCCCGCGGTAAAAAGTATCCTATATATTATATAGCCCGGATAGCCATCTATCATCATACCAAATTGCATCAAAATCTGCCAAGTGGTTTTCTCGTGATGCATTCCCAGACAGAAAGACAAACAGACAAAAACTCTAAAAACTATAATTTCGACTCTGTATCGATAATAATGAATATTTCAATAAGATTTTCAAATAAAATGTACAAATCGCCCTAGTTAGAATTTTATTATATGTATAGATAACATTTACTATAATAAAGAAAGCAATGAACGATTAATAAATGAGTACTTTCTTTGTGCTCTTCTCTGTCTTTGTTATTTAAGCCAAACGATAGCCATTTCAGTCGTGTTTCAAAAGTAAAAAACTAAAATTTGGTAATTTTTTAAATTATCAAAACTCACTAATAAATAAAAACATACACTCACCCATGCCACCTGCTCCTGCTCCGCCAACATGTCCTTCCCCTGGTCGAGCGCGAGGCGCATCTCCGCGCGCGGGCTGAGCCGCTCCAGGGACCTCCCCTCGGGTGAACACTCTTGTACTGGTGGTGGCTCCGAAGCTGGAATTGATGATACTTTATAATGTTTTCTGCATGCATGTAGATAGACTAGGGGTATGTGTGGAATCCCCCCCAACGTGCGTTCACCTTGTCGTGGTGGGGGGGCTCAGTAGTAGTAGTACGAAGCTAAGAAACGCACAGGGAGGTTGCACACTTCGGTGGGCGGTGGGAGGTGGCCCTCTTCGGGGGGCGGTGTACCTTGCGGGTTGCTCCTGGTACTTCTTTGGTAGCAGAGTGGACCGTTGGAGCAATCCCATGACGCCCCATTAAGACGGGGGAGGTTTTGTTGGGTTTTAGTGAGTAGTACTGGTTTTTTTAGCCGGTGAGTTTTAAATTAATACCTATATGTATACAGGTGGCATCCGTAAATGCATATCGCAACATTTCAAAAAAAAGATTGTGAATGGAATGACACATCCAGCAAATTGCCTCTTCAACATTGCTGGGACATACTCTTTTGGCGAAATTTTACATGATTTCGACATTGGTTTTGTCATTTTGTATAATTGTGGCCGAATTTCGTTGATGCGGCATTGACTCCTCTTTTAATGAACGGGTGGAAATAGGCTTGTTAAGAAAGTCTTTAAATTCAAAGAAATCGAATTGTGTTAAATCACGTGATCTTTGCCGAGGCCAACTTTGATCACCAACACGAGAGAGTACATGACCAGGAAATGTGTCATGTAAACATGGAAAAACATGCCAACCCGCACTTGGCCAGCGTGGTAGATTATGATGTATGAGATCCCTCTCGTATTGTAGGGATTGCTCAGCAGTGGGATGTTAAAGAGGGCCGTATACATATAAAAATTGGGCTTATTGTGAAAATACAATTTTTATCTCAATGACCCTTTGACATATAAAAATAATAATAATAAAAAAAATATTTAAAGATAAAGTTTTATTTCTTAATAATCTTTACAATAATTTTGTTGGAGTCTTCGCAGTAAGTAATCCGAAGATACTTGTGTTGGGATTGGTAATAGCAAATACTATCTGAAAAACTGGGAAGCATCTCTGCTACTTTTTTCAAATTTCAAGTGCGAGTTACAATGACGGTGAAATTAATTTGTCTGTTAAAAGCTACCAGCTCCAATACCTGGTGACAGCTGATGTAGGGGTGTGGGGTTGTGGATGGTGGTGCGTTCGAGTGTGGAGGGCGTGCTGGCTGAACTGGCTGAGCCCCGCCGACCGCCGCCAACAGATGCTCGCTCCGCACACTCTTTTGAAACTGTCATATTCCAAGTTAAATTATTAAATTATATGGCTAAAATAATTTAGTCGAACTACTCGTACTACTTATAAATGCGAAAATTTAAATGTTTGTGTGTTTGTTACTTTTTCACGCTGTAACGACTGGATGGATTTGGATAAAGTTTTATGTATACTACATAGGTAGATAAAGATATGACCTGGATGGAGTTGTTATTTTATTTAGTATAACATTCAAAATCAGAAAAAAATACTTTTTATTTCTCAATGATTAATATTAATTTATGGAAGTTTCATCAAAAACTAGTTCTCCTAGAAGAGTTACAAATTGTATTTATACCAGATTGTAAGGGCATCGAAGGTGCCTCGTTGGTGGGAGTCCGGTCGGGACTCAGCTCGCACGCGGCGCCACCAGCGCGTCCCTCTCCATGCCACGTGTGTTCCGCGCCGCACACACCGTCCTCTGCTTCTGTGCAATTGTAACACTAAAGTACTAACCCAGTAAGTCCAATTTGCCTTGTCAAGTATTTAGTGTTTTATCGTGTTGATGATTGTTTTCGTAAAAAGCGAGATAAGCTGCAAAACGTGACTGAATTACTGTGTTTTATAAGATACATATTGGATAATTGGTGTCAATGGAGTGCAATTGTCATTGCATGCTAGGGTTGAGTACGACAATTATTTTAGGGCAACTGTTTTCATTCTTAGACCCTATAAGGAAAACATGCATGCATCGTGCTGTTTATCGTACGTATGTCATAGCTTTATATACTGGTATACGAAAATATAATTATGACATGTTCCTCTTCTCACCTTTCACCTTTAGTCAAGAAGTCCACTTTGCTGTCAAAATGTATTTTGTTAGTATTTACATGTTGAGTGTTTTTTTGTGTTCTTATTTATCAAATTGTATTTACAATTATTGTTTTATTTTAATTATATAATCTGAAAACTGCATCTCCCTTTTCTGTTTCTTTTATTATCATGTAAATGACAATGCTTTTATATACACTTTTAAAAAACTAACAGTCAGTAATATGCCATTAATTATAAATTTTTTAAAATTCTCAAAACATGTAACCCGTTCCCACAAACTATACAACCTCTAACGTGTAACAAAAAAGCTACATGAAATAGGAAACATTGAAAGAGATAAATCCTAGATGAGATTTACTTTGGGAATGATTACCTGGCTCTGAAGCAGAGGGCGGCTGGTGCGCGCCGCAGCAGTCGTCAGCATCGAGGCCACGCTCGCTGCCCTGCGCCAAGCGCCGCACCAGCGGACCAGTCACAATGTGAGATACAACCTAGCTACGGTCTATGCGACTACTGTTGCCAATAACCCCAAGATATATTAACTTTTAGATTTACTCATTTCAGATTCGCAATAAAAGATGAGAAATAATGTGGTTTTAATTGATTTTCTATCATTGATAACTTGGTTTGACTCAAGCATGTTATTAGTCTTATTTTTGTTAAGTAAAAAAATATTAAAATAATTAAGATGAACATTCCAAAATTTATGGGGTTAATTTACGGGAGGAAACAACAACTTGGTAGTGTACAAAATATCCCCAATCAGAACCTAAGTAAAGTAAACATTAATTGGATTAGGGTCATGCAACAAACTACTTGCTATCATTTGCACCTCATTCTATGGTTCGTTTCTTTCATGCTTGGTTATTTTCATACACCAACGAACATTTAACACATCTATTTTTAACACATCTATTTTTTTTTAATTTAAGTTTGACAAAATTATCCAACTTATATCAGGTTTTGATTAAAAATATCATGGAAACAAGCAAAAATTGTCAAAACTACTGACATCTAATTAGACAATTTTGTCAAACTGAAACATTGAAGTAGGTATGAAGTTGTTTTGTATTTCACCAATCAATTTTAGTCGTTCATTTCATTTAAGACATTCTCATAAAAATGTGTCATAATACAGTTTCAACAAAATTCTTTCTACGTATTCACTTGTATGGTATTCACCTGGTCGTCAGAGTTAGTTGGGGTAGGTTTGTTGTCTTCACTTCCACTGTCAGAACCATCTTCTTCTAAGAGAGGCTCTAACCTTCTTCTAAATACGTCCCTGTAAAAAAACAAATATTGTTTTTAATCTACTCCTTTTTTTACTTAATAAGATTATTTAGAAAATATTTCTTACACATTCATGTACCTAGGAAGAAGTGGTCTTAAGGTAGTAGGTCCAGTGATTGTAGGTGCCATCAGAAGTTCATCCATCATGAGTTCTGTATCGTCATCACCAGCATATGAAGATGACGACTTTGTTGGTGACTGAAAATGTAAGCTTCTGTTCATTTAACATAAAACAGTTACTTTAACTTTAATTAAGAAGTAACATATGCACATTCACTCTTATTAAGTCACAAGGTGTCTCATTTGTACTATAAGTATATAATTATTATTTATACAGATAAATAGAATTGAAGTGCCTGTTTGTAATGTCAAAATAACAGCGTTTTACTAAATGCATATGAAATTATATACGGTACTTATAAGAAAACACATTTTTTTAATTTTTGTCTGTCTGTTTGTTTCGGATAATCTCTGAAACGGCTGGACGCATTTTGACAGGACTTTCACTTGAAGATAGCTCAAAAAAATTAAAACGTACCTAGGGACGAACCCGAGCGAAGCGAGGATAAGTCGCTATTGTATTATATAATAATTGATGATGTTAATTGATATGATTCTACACTAGTCATAGAAAAATAGATCTTACAGAAAGGGTTCCGTGTTCAGAATCAGGGAGGTTGTCTGAAAGGTCACCCGATGAGGGTGTACCCCAAGCATCTTCACCACTTGCCCCACTTCCTTCTCCTGTTTCTACTGTTCCATCTTCTGTACCCAGCGCAGACTTCCAATCTCCCACTCCAAGGCACCTAAATTATATAATTTTATATTAAAAAATAAATTGCATCATAATATATCCATGCTTCAAATTATATTAAAATTAAAAAGTAAGAAATATATTCTAGATATTTTAAAATAACTATAAAACTATCAACACGTTTAATTGATTCTATATTTAAAAGACACTACAATTTAAGATAATTTTTTTCTAGTTTAAATAAAATCGATTTATATTGAATGTAAATCTAATAAAACTATAACAAAATTGACAAAAATTAACGATAATAAAGAAATATTCTTCTATATAATTCATAATGTATTAAAATAAGATCTAGCGTTAGTTATCAGATCTACAACAATGCCTTGTAACGTTATTTTGCTTATTTAAGATTAACAGTTTCTAAAACAGCATCTCCAACACTAGCATCATCTAGATGTTCTATAAAGATATTACTTTAATAAATAATATATATATAGCATGTATTCTAAACAAAAAAGAACCATCGAAGTCATACACGTACTCAGCGTTTCTTTTCCTTTTGTGATGTTTTCCACCTAGTTTATAAGGAGAAACATGAATTATTATGTTCGCAATACTGAAGTTGATAAAGTAAATATTGATTATATTATAATAGTAAATACATAGATATGAATTTAAATAAAAAGATTTAAGGTTTTGATTATGTTGCAAATACATACCGTTCTAAGAAAGAAGGCTGTTTATGTGCTATAGAAGTATTTGGCACGCTCTCTGTGTGACTGAATATATTCATTTTTTCAACAACAAAGGAGCCAGCTCTTGCAGTCCAACCCATAATGCCTCCGGCCGCGCTAGTTACTATAAAATATTAATTGTTAACAACAAATATTAAAAACTATAATAAAATAACTTATATAATTACCTGAACTATAGGTCTTAGAATTGTCTGGCTCTTGGGTGGTCAGTCTTATATTACCATCATCAGTCTCATCCGATGGTAGCCTTTCTAGACTTGACATAGTACCATATCTGAAATTATATAAATGTTGTTATTTTTCTTCCAAAAAACATAGAAAATTTATAACATTATTTATTAAGTATTACCGTTTTAAAGAAATATAAGGTAAATCATCTGGAACATCAGGGGAATCTGGAGATTCATCTACAAGATCATCCTGAAATAAAACCAGAATAGTAGTAAAGACGATTAAATACCCATAGATTTACAAGAAATTTTCGGTATACTCACAGTCTTATTTGTCGTATTATAATCAGGCGTCGGTGGAACTACCGCTATATTTGGTACAGGTGACTCAGATTTGATAGAACCTAAACTACCTGGCCTTGAATTAGTTTTAAGAGCGCTGACACCTATATGTTCAAAATGTGTTCTTTTAAAAGGTTCTACTCTCATAAGATGGGCTGCAGGATTGATAGCTGATAGCCCCATTAACATAAGTGGACCCAACTCAGAATCTTCATCTGATAACACATCATTCGTATTCGCATTTACATCTTCTATGCCTTCGTTTTTCTTGTTAATGTCCCCATTCATTTGGTTAACGGCTGATATACCCATTCTTGGTGATCTTCTCATACCTCTTTCTATCCTAAAGTCATTGTCATCTTCATGTATTGAATCATCATCTAAGAATACTGACGACGTTTTCAAACATGTTCCAACGTTTTCTCGTTTTGTTATTATGTTCATACCTAATACTTTATTTAAAACAGTTTCAGCCTTTTGTCTTGTTCGCTCTTCTTTTCTTATAGTCGCTGGCGATGGATACGACGATGTTTTTGGTTTCGATAGCACGATACTTTCAACACATTTTATTTCATTCAAATACTTCTCTTGAGCTATAACGCACTGGACTTGGTTAGCTATATTTGAGCTAGATGTTCTTAAATCATTTGAGCTAGAGTTAAATACCATGGAGCTACACGTTGTGTGACTAGTGGATAAAGGACTATTCCTACTACTAGAAGTGGGGCTAGGTGATCTAATTGAATTCTCTTTTCTCAATTCCAAATGACTCTTAGTATTACTTCTTGTTATACTTCTGTTTAAGCCGGTGGGGTCTGTTTTTAGATCATAAGATTTAGATTTGAGCATTCTTTGACTTTGTTCGATAGAATCTATTACTTTAATGGCAGCTTTTGGACCATCTTCAGGTCGTATCCTTATAGCACCTTTACGTTCTAAGCGAGTGAAATGTTTTTGTTTACGGTTACCACAGTTTGCTCTACAAATACTAGGAGTACTTTTAACTGAGGCAGAATTTTGAGGCGAGGTTTCTGGCTTAGGTTTAGGAGGTACTGTTGGTTCTTTTTGAGAAACTAATGGACTATTTGGTTTTGATAAACACTTTTTATGGCACTGCCGACATACAGGAATAGTGTCTACTACAACTGGACTGGTCCGAACTGTTATCTGAAAAAGTTTTTTATTGAATATTATCTACGTCCTATTACTTTTTTATGATGATTTTGCTCTACTAAGCACTTACCTGACTTCCAGAATTGCTGCTTTTTGATGGACTTCTATCGCTTTCCTTCTTTTCAACATTATTAACTACGGCACTTTCTTTGTTTTCTACATTGCTTTCTACAATATCAGCTACTTCTAAAAGATTCAGCTCTTTTGACCTCTTTCTAAGCTCTTCGACGCTCCACATCTACAATAAATTTTTGTAAGTTTTTGTAGCAATAAAGCTATGAATATTTATAAAGATGTGTAGTTCATTTGTCTTTTTTAACCAAACTTACTTCCATATCAGGTTCAGGAGGATCCAGTTCCTCAGCTTCTGGTAGCTGAGTCATCCATCTTTGAAGGTGGAGTGATGATCCCCGACTGCGATTACTTCTCGCACCTTCTATCGCACTTCCGCCCGCCCCTGTCTGTGTTTCGGCAGAGCTTCGACGTGTCTATAATGTTTTCATTTGGAAATATTATTTATATTCCGTTATTTTAAAAAATATACTTTTTTAATGTTTCCGACTGCTTTATGAAATCTGGTATGGATAGATTCAATGACCAAGTGGATATTTGGAGATCGTTATTGTTTTTTTGGTTATCGTGCCTTTGATTACTATATAAATATAAAAAATATATATTAGTTATAAAAAGTGTTATAAAAGTTTGCTTTTAAATATAATATAAATGTACTTACCCATTCTTTAGCACTCCTTATTTTTTAATTTATGTATTTTAAATTCTTGACATAAATAATTAATATAAATGTGATTAGTTTAATATAATATAAATTATAATTATTAAATCTTTTATTTTTGAACAAGAAAAAAATTATTCTAAAAATATAATAATTATAAAATAGTAATTTAAAGTGCAAATTTAAAAATGTGCTAAATTTTATTATATATTGACTATATATATGTATATATAGATACAATAATGTGCGTTACATAGAAAAATGGTAGACAGCGCTTTAAAAGATTAAGGAGTTTCGATAGCGTCGCAAAATAGGGACTTAGTTGAGAATATTAGAAATAAAAAAAAATCACCATCGACAAAGTCACTTTATTCACCGATCATTAGAAATTTCTGCTTCGATCTAAACAAAACATCCAAATTTTATAAATCGATTATACGCCACATAGAACCCAGAACAATAAGTAAAAGGCTTTCTCAAAATTATTAATCTTTTCCTCATTAACTACTAGACTTATTTTACACAGCCAAATACATCGAAAATTATTGAATCTAACTACCAAATTTTTTTTGTAAAAACTTAGGTCATACACATAGAAAAACCCCGGGAGTAGGTTATGTGAACATTTTACGATGCTAGCGATTATATATACGCGCTCGTCTCTCGCAACAACAAACATGGTCAAAGTCAATATGTGAGCATCAATTGTTAAACAAAAAGCAGTGACTACTTGAATTCACACAGAACAACTACCATTTTTCATTGTAACACATTATTCTAATGGCAATGCATTAAAAGAAGCGATGCGGAAAATAAACGGTGATACTATAATGCAATGTGAATCAGATTTCGCAAAACTAATCGCCAAATATCCACATGACCTGTACAATTTTGTGATTATGTACAGACGCCCGCGACATTAACTGTAGTACGTACCCAGATCAGGGCTGAATAATCTGTGATGGTAATAAGTCAAAGTTTAAAAGTGGGCTATCAAAATCTATTCAACTTAACTTTCATGGACAAAAAAATGATAATACAAATACAAACCAAAAGTGCGATAGTCTGTACATTAAAACTATCAATAGTTTAAAAATTAATTTTCAATAAAACTGACATTGCCAGTAAATAATAGCTTAGTACTACGGAGGACACTGAGCAATTTTGAATGCTGTTTGTCTTGTAACACAAATGTAAGATAAGGACGGAAGACTCAAGAAGCAACGATACAAAACTATTAGTTCAAAGTCGTATAAATATCCCTACAATTGGTACCCTATAGTTACATTTTTGACACTGAATCCTATAATACGGTAAATTGTAAAATATCGGCATAAATTTAAGCGAGTTTTAAGAACTCATTTTAGTAATTTCAATTCAGTCCAGTTCAGTTTGATTCCATGTACCCAGCGGTTTTGCTCGGAGAGGGATTTAAAACTAGAATAATCTATATAGCCAAAATACCGAGATTTGAGAATACTGGTAATGTTCGAAAATATATTTCAATTTTTTGCCACAACCTTATATTAACTCTCAACTATAAGCAAATTTAACAATCCAACAGTTTTTTTTTATTTATTTACATTAAAAACCAAATGGATGATCAGATTTTCTGGCCCAAATATTATAAAATTAATAGGAATTAAATATTTGATCTGACCAAGATTTTGTCAACTTTTTTAAACTGTGTTAGCTTAGGATAGCGTGTTAAACCATTGGCTTTAATTGGGAATGCTCTGTTTGGTAAAGGAACTATTAATAGTATTGGCTCATGAGATTGAAAAAAATATATATATTCATATGACTGGTCTACTATTCATTTGTTAAAACTTGATGAAATCTAAGATTTTCCGAATATTTACATCATAAGCTAATATTTAGAACCTCTATTTCCGTACCAATTAAGGTCAGAGTAAAATTTTATTTTAAAATTTTTGACGTTTACAGAGCATATCAGCTCTAGTTATTTCCTCGGATCCGGGGGAAGTAAGTATCAAACTCCGGATCAGACTCCGCGGATCAAAGTTCTAAATACGCTGGTGGAGTCGGTCTTTCTGGTAAGGGGACGCGGGGTAAAAGTGGATCGTCGGGTAGGAAAATGCGTTCTTCAACAGCGTGTTTATACGATGGGTCGACATCTAAATCAGCTAAAGCGAGATCAGCTTCAAAAGATTCCCATCTGCAGGGAGATATTTCAGAATAATTCTCCCCACCATCTGAGGTGAGTTTAGCACTGGGTGACGCTGGTTGTTCGTTCCTCTCAATACTTGAGGAGGATACGAAGTGAGATGAAAAGGTTTGAGAATCTGCGGGAGATAGATTGGCGGAAGGAGTTTCTGGTGTAGGGGCAGTTTTCCAAACTGTGCTAAGGGGACCTCTAACTGGTTTTGGTTGAGGTGACGTAGAATTGGATCTAACATCGAAGCTGACCCTAACTTCTTTTTCTGGACGTTCTTCTACGAGCATGTTTAAGTGTGACCGGTAAGAGCTGGCGGGTAAGAGTGCTAGGCTCGAGTGTCGCTGTAAGCTGGATCCTGATACCTGACGTTGTTGGGAGTCGAGAGTCGCTAGACTGAAGGTCAGTTGAGGATCTGGAGAGTCCAGCGGCGATCCGAGTGGTGTTCCAGACATCGTGTGGGCGCGGTATCTGAAAATAAGAGGAGTATAGTTAAAATATTGATATTTCCTTAAATTAAAAGGTAGTTCAATACAAACATTTACCGCCAACAACAACATTTTAAATAATATTCATTAAATAAAATATCTTTTCGGATTATTTTGCGGATTTATTTTGATTTTTGGTTCTCGACGTTTCGAATGCTTTACAGCAATTATGGCCACGGGAGAGACTAAGGTTTTAGACCTCTCAAAGGTATACTTGTTGTATAATACGAAAAAATAGTTTTAATTTAAAATGTCAAATATTCGCGTAAAGTATAATATTCATTTTTAAAGTGCTTCTGTGTTTTAAGTTGTATACTCACATTTGCCTTTGCAACAAGCTCTGCCAAACCGCTTTCAAATCGATAGAAGGTGCTCGCAGAACGATGGGTCGCGCGCGCGCGGGAGTGCGCGGGGAACACGACACTAGTGGGCTCTCACCACCCGCTCTACCCAATATTAGGCGGAATTCAGTCACTGTAAAAAAATGAACCTTATAACGAATATATATATATATATGAAGTATTATTTTAAGAAATTTACGATTTTCGTATTTATTTATTAATAAATGAAAGGATAATAAGAAGTTAAAAGCGGAAATACATTATTGGATAAATTAATATAAATAAATTATTGAAAAGAAATAGAATTATTTAACAGATAATAAAATAAGTAGCTTTATTATTCTATATTAATCGTATTAAAGAGAACAAAATAATTTCAATGTGATATTCATTATTTTTAAAGAAATCGTATAGAGCGATTGCTCACATATCGTCACTTAAGGTGCAGTATAATATTACTGATGATGAAGTTACTCGTATTTTAGAGTATACGTGTTGGAAGTTTATATGTTACTGTTCTTCTAAAATTAAATTCAATTCTTAGACTTTTTTATAAAACAAACTAATATAAAGTTATTTTTTCAAGTTCAATGGTAAAATTTTATGTCAAAGAAGTTTGAAGTAAGCAAATTTATTAGACGATTTAAAAATAAAGAAAACTTTAAAATACCAAGTAATAACACAAAACTACCTTTTTTCCTAATATTAAACTGAGCTTCTGATACCGTCCCCAACGCTACTGGTTCCTCCGTCACGAATAACACTCGATCCCGCGACACGGTGGCGAAGAGGAGCAGGTCACTGAACAATAGCGCCCAATATGGCCGGATCGTCCTGCCCTCTACACGAGATAGCTCCCCGCCAAATATCCATTGCCTTCCCGCTGTGCTTAAGACAAATGGCTGAAAATAATGATTAAAGTCAAATGGTGATTGAACTGAGGCAGATACACGATAAATGAGATAGGTCAAGATTGAAAATAGTAAAATGTAGTGATTAGAAAGTTTACAAATAATTTTGAATATTACAAGATCTTTTTTGCCACCGATAACATTATACCGTACTAAATACTATAAACAGATATATATTCTAATACATATTATAAAGAGGACTGGAAAGGACATAGGATAGCTTTTATCCCTGAAATCATCCCTTAAAGGGGTGAAAATAGTGGTGGAAGTGTGTATGGGGAAGTAGGGACGAACCCGAGCAAAGCGAGGGTGCATCGTTATTTCATTTAAAAATTGTATTAACTATAATATCGTGTATTGTCGTTGTAGATTTAGATATTCCGCGTTTAAATCTAGATATTTACCTTACATCTAGTGAACACAAGGCGACTCTCAAGATCGGCCACGGAAAGTAATGGTTTTCCGTCACCAGCGAGACCCATTAAGCCTGAACCAGCTGTCACATCTTGGTAACCACTCTGAAATAGTAATTAACTAGTTATGTAGGTTATGATTTCAACAAAGAAAAAAAAGCAAAGTTAAGATAATAAGAGTTTCTAGGTATAAAATGTATTGTCATCCATACAAAGCTGCTTTATCTTGCATAGCTGCGTCCTGAACAAGCACTGCTTTTGGTGCTATATCGGTCAGATAAATTATACTTTTAGAGAATACCTCGTGTAAGTGACAATTAGGATATAATGCTCGGGCTTGCTTCCGAATCTATTATTTAAACCTCATTCCTAAAATAGTATTTATGTGTGTTGTAAAGTTTTTTATTGACTTGAAATTTCATTTGAACACGTTATATTCCCGTTAATAATATTTCATACACAACTGTATTTTTGTTTTTTTTTTAAACAATTGAACGAATGATAACAGAATCAATGTTTACTTGTAGCTGTTCCGCAATGACTTGCAACTGCTTTTTCTCCAGTTGATCGTACGGTCCAGCGCCGTTACATGCAGCGGCCGCTCTCATTAACCTAAGAAGCTCTCTGAACTGTTCCAACGGTTTGTGGACTAGGGACGTGATGTCTGGCCTTCTTCTGGGTATGGGGGGACTTGTGCAAAATCTTGAAAATGCTCCACTTGGGTCTTTTGATTTTTTTACCTAGTATAATTAATACATGTCAGGTTTTTTGTATAGGTATTTGTTTTTATCGTTTAAAAGACTACTTTCCAATAACTTTTCACTGTTTTATGACTTTATTGGATACGTTTCATTAAAGAGTGCAAAGATTCATATATGCATTAGTTAAAGTAAATTTTAATGATTTATTACTTTCAAGTGACGTAATATCATCAGTAGACATTAGTATTAATATCAACATAAATTGGTATGGCATGAATGGTATAGAAAGAATATTCTTAAATATACTTACCAGTACACAATCTGCCCTTTTCAATCCTAAACAATATTTTTTATAGAGACTAAGGAAAGCTGGAGTCTTTTGTAAGTAAACTGCAACCACAGTTGAAGTCTGTATTTCAGTATCGTCTTGAACTACTTGGTCCAAGATATCTTCCGACAGTCTAAAGATCTGTAAAATGACCCTAAGCTTAATATCTACTAATTGGCTAAAAGATACGCTAATTCCAAATTCACTTTCAAATTAAATTTTTTAACTTTGAGGTGACCTTTTCTTGAAATTTCCAGAAACATATTCTTAAAATACTTTAATAGACTATACAGTCTATTTATAGAAATTTATACACAAAAAGATGTTCAAGATTTTGTTTTATTTATTTCAAATCTAAATATTTATAACTTCTCATTTCTCATCAGGTATCCAGCCCTTATCATTTATGGTATATTTAAGTAAAGTTAAAGCGAAATTAGATCATATAAAATTAACGTTAAACGAGCGAGCAAAGAGTCTTTCCTTCAAGTTTGGCAAAATTGTTCGTCCTCTACAGGTCGTATTTTACTACTGATCTGGACGAAACTTGGTCGAGTATTTTTGATAGCGGGGGGGGGGGGGGGGGGCGGGGGGACTTCGGGGACCCCCCTTTACCCATACTGGATATCTCCGCCTTATGAGATGTGATCTCAATGGTTCTTTTTTATTTGGAAGGTAATAACTTTAAGTTGGTCTCATAAAAAAATGACAAAGATTTGATAAAGATGCAGCAAATTGCGGTAAATTGCTCACATAACTTTCATTGTGTGAGCAATTAATTGTTTAAAAAAAGTTTGCGATCGCGAGGTCTACGGTTAACTGTCTGCCTACTGTTTACTGTATTTCTAAGTATAGTTACTTAGACTTTGCTCTCCTGATAATATTTACCTCCTCAATATTCTGGAACAACAATTGATGATCGCTTGGCGCTATCAGATCTGCTCTCTCTGCGAGTGGTGATACAAATCGTACTAGGCCGAATTGTAGACATGTAGCGTAATGTTGTTCACGAGATACTACGGCTAGGAGGGCGCGTTTCCGCCCATCTGTTGATAGGCTTGTCGTCTGTTGGGGATTTGAATTATATTTCATGTCCTTTGTATTTATGTCCTTATACTTTACTTAGAGAATATGTGCTAATTTTACGACATTCAGATTTGTATCTATTTTTTTGGTCTTAATTATTCTAGAAATTATTTTCAATAGCTTGAATTACACATACCAGTTACATATATCAAATTATTAAGTTCTTATTATTTTTTAATTGTTTTTATCTTATACTTTTGTTAACTTTATAATAATCAAAATTATAGTAAGATTTCTTTATACATTTTTATTTTTACTATGCGTACTGTTAAGTTAAATGAGTTAGTGAAACGTGCATTTATTATTAAAAAATGAAATAATATGCAAAAAATAATAAAATGAGGGTGTAATCTAAATGAAAATGAAGATAGGTTAGGTAAAGTGTTTCATTATATTAACTTTCAAAATTTTATCTTTACATTATTATTTTTATTTTAAAATAGAAAAACTATCAATCCATACATCTGGTTTATCAATGTAGAAAGTAGGAAGTTTAAAATGAGGAAATTAAGGAAGTAAGGGAGAAAACAAAATAAAAAATGCCAAAAAATAATTATAAGCAATAAATTTATTTGCACTTAATATTAAGAAACATAAATTAAAAAAAAAGAAACAAAAATAATCATAACAGGAACCAAAAAATTTCATGAGTTACGAAAAATAAGTATAAACTAGCTTAAGACACACAATTTGAATTGCGTTTTGTACAAAATAAAGAAAATAATGCGATAACACAAAATTGTATATCTAGATAGAGAGATAAGTTCTAAGACACTTAAAAACGAATAACACACGACGATCTATTACAAAGGAAATAAATAATGTTAACAAAATAAATAATAACAAAACAGCAATCTTAAACGTAACGATTCCCCTTTTATAAATCCCAATAACAGTTATTAGGTTTAAACATCTAATTATTATGATTATTGAGATATTGTATTATTCTATGACGACATAAATCTGTACAAGCGAGAACACAAGTTATAAGCATACTATATAGTGGAATGTATCGAGAAAATAGTCTAATATCTACAAATAACAATAGCGTTACTGTACATGATTGTAACAGTTAAAAAAGGAAAAAGATTACAAACAAACACACACTTAACTAGTCGCTACACGTATAATAAATTTGATTTAGACAATAGATTGAAAGTCAACACTAGCACCACTTTCCTAAAAATTCGAATTTTGGTCTAATTTCCAAAAATAATTTACATATCAAAAATTCTACCGATGACTAGTATGAATTTAATTCGAAAAAAAAAATGATTGAGTGAGACGAGTTATTCAGAAGATGAAAAATTAAAGACAACAATAAGTTAAGGAAAACCATCTATATTACTAATATTATAAAAAGGCAGAGTTTGTTTGTTTGTTTGATCGCGCTAATCTCAGGACCTAATAATCCGAATTCAAAAATTCTTTTTGCATAGATAGCCTCTTTATTGAGGAAGGTTATATCATAACGCTACTACCCAAGGGAGCGGAGCAGTAATCATAAATGTCAAGAAATCAGGCTAACTTCCATACATTATTGTAAAACCAATGTTTATAATCAAATAAATTTAACACGGGTAAAACCGCAGGGCACAGGTAGTATTTAAATACAATTAAATCAGTTCATCTGAACAATCATCCACTCAATCTTTAGAAAGTACCAAATCTATACAATTATTCCGTTACCTACCTCTTTAGAAAACGTGACCTGAGGTAAGTGTAGTTTGCGGCGGTCCAAAGATTGGCTGGTTGAGGAGCAAGCAGTAGGAGGTCTTGGAACTGCGGGAGAGGCAAGGGTACCAGCTCTGGGAGACCTGGGAGCGGGGGGAGTGGATTCTGGTACAGGAGCCGTTTGGAGACGACGGACCCCTACTCCGTTTTGGGGGACACGTCTGAAGGTTTCCATGTTAAGTGTCGTCCCTGCTGATCTGGAATGGAATAATGAACTTAGTATTTTAGTGATTTGGTTGAGTTTTATAAATATAACTTTTGAAGCTATACTTCTTTTGACACGTTTGGAAAAAAATATGAGAATAAGATTTTTACGATGCGCGCGCACATCAAACAACACCCACCAAACAGTCAAAAAGCGACATGATGAAGTTAGCTGCATTCCTTTTACAAACAGAGAGTTGTGACATACGAGATGAAATATTTAGCTATTTTTGTTCTGTTACGCCAAAGAAATATAACTTCTTACGTGCGTACATTAAATAATAAAGGCATAAAGTTACTGAGCCTGCAAGCACTCGACGACTAGGACCATGGTTGTGTTTTATATTAATATGGAACTCCTGTTATAAGTGTGCAAGTTTGTAATGTGTATGTTTGTTACTCCTTGATGTTAAAACAGCTGGACGGATTTCGATGAAATTTAGTACACAGATATGACCTAGAGTAATACATACGGTACTGTTTGTCACACAGGGATGCACCCGAGCGAAGCAATAATAAGTCGCTAGTATTAAATATTCGGAAAATAATGTATTAAAAAACTTACTTAACAAGACTCCGAACTTCCTCCTCATTAGCGGTAACAACATTCTTATTGCCAACAAACACTATATAGTCCCCCGCACGCAGTCCCGCCCTCTCCGCCGCCCCTCCCGCCGCAACCCTCTCCACCCGCGGTGGACGTGTCCATACCACTGTGAAACCGTAGCCTCCGCTTGAAGCTCGTATTAATCTGCAAAAATTAACAAGAAATAACTTCTATGTAAATGTATTTTTTAATAATGCTTTGAAATCTCCAATTATTAGCATATTTTTGGAAGCTCTGATTCATTCCTTACATCGCCATAATATAAAATTGTAATATATTTAAGACTATAATATTTAATTATAATATACATAATATATGTCTCAGGGATATTGTGAAAGCCGTAAAATTCTAATTTCACTAAGCAAATTCAAATATAAGATTCCTGCGATATATCGTGTTATTCCCAAAAAATTAGCTTAATTCAAATACTTACTTTCTAGTACTTGTGAAAGGTGTCCGTCCTTGCCGTTGCGCTCGTCGTGGAGCATTTGGATCTTCTGGTGGATCAAGTTCCAAGTATCTAAGAAACAGATGCTCGTCAGCCTCTCGTTGTAACGCGGCCGCGACTTGCGCTTGGTTTGTTGATGGGCCGTTGGAAGCTACGCCTGGGTTATGAGGAGTTTAGATGAATATCTCATTTGCTGTCTTTTATCTCTTCTCTATTAATATTTCATATTTTGTAGCAATAATACTTTAAATTCATTTGTTTAGTATTGAATATTTATTGCACTAAGATGTTTTTATTAGGTTTACAAATATACATAATTATATTGTATAAATAATTATAATAAAAATTAATTTTTCACTTAATTCAATGAGTGCAACTATGAACTTTTCGTTATACCAACAATTTCGACTTCGAAAACATTGTTTAAGTTGCTCATTTTAGTTTATGTTTTGTATTGTATATATTTATAAATCGTTTATCCTTCGAAATAAATAAGTAAATAAACAATGACATAAATGTAGTGTTATTTCTTAGATTTTTATTTGATTTTCTGATAGATGCCATTAGAATTTAGCTTAAACATCTTAATATTCCACTGGAAACACAAACTTTAAGAAGAATTCTCTACTTCTTCTAAATTCCTGTAAAGTGGGTCAAAATTACGCCAGTAGAGGTTACCTTTATCAACGTTTTCCTTCGTGCCATCATTAGTGCTGGTCTCTGTGTTATCGGTGGCCATCTTGCGTCGTTCGGTCACGCGGTCCTGTGCCGCGCCCTGGCGCCCCTGCAGAAAGTACGTGCCGGAGATGTCGTTTTTAACTGCATCTTTCAATGGGAACGAGACACATCCTAGAAACTCGCTCCGCCTGAAACAAAAGGAATTGGTCAGTTATTTTGAGTTTTTTATATGGTCTTAGAGTATTATTGTTAGAGCATTTTTCGGATAACTTAATAAAATATATACACTGGTAGCAGCTGTGCATTATGTTTTTTTTTTGGACTTAGAATTAAGTTATTATATATACATAATGTTTGTAGCAGAGGCAGAAATGAATGCATAGGAGAGTCAGTATTCAAAAGAAGAAGTCAAAAGTTTCTGTAAGATTGAGTTTCAGTTGGTTATTTTGGTGTGTATAGACTACAAAGGTGTACATAAGTGGCATTTTGAAATACATTGACACGACACTACATAGAATAGAAAAGGGATACCAGTAAATAAACTTGTTTGGCATTCGTAAAACTTAAATTTCCTTTGCTCCAGTCTTTCTTCATTATCCTTCACGTCAACTAGTGGAGTTACATATAATCTTTTATATATTCACATTAGGTATTAGAAATAAATAATAATATCAAAATCCCAACAACAAATCATTTAGATTGTTCATCCTCCATACATGTGTATATTAGTTGTATTACACGTAATTGACCACAATGTTACTTTCATAAATGTAATTGGATGAGTAGGCGATGAAAAAATTTGATCGTCACGTTGAGTATACGTTTATTGTAGGCAGTGATTATCATAATGTACAACGGAGATATCTCAAATACATGGATGAATTTAGAAAATTGGTAATTCATTGTTAAGAAATAGTGGGCCAAATTTCTCATCTTAAAATACTTACTGTGCTTGATTCATATTTTTTGTTATATTTGAATTTAAGCAAGCAGTCTTCATTGTAAATCGATTACGTATTTCAATTAATTCGTATGAAACTCAAAGTAAACAATTTACGTTTATTTATGTTTCATTAGCAACTTACATCATTACGAGTATTTAATTAAAAGTATATAATCCATACATATAATAAAATTGTAATTAAGCCGAATGTGTACATTAAATATTTTTTGGAAAATCTTATTGAAATAGACATTATTATCGATACAGTGGCCGAATCTATAGTTTTTAGATTTTTTGTCAGTCTGTCTGTCTGTTACCGCATCACAGAAAAACCACTGGAGGGATTTTGATGAAATTTGGTATGGTGATAGCTGGTTATCCGGGTCAACAGATAGGATAGACTTTTTACCGCGGGAAAATATCTCATTTCTGAGAAAAAATACAAACACTGCATTGTAAGAGTATACTAATATGTAAAACCTAAGAATTTGTTTTTGGTCATCTGAACGCGGGTGGAGCCGCGGGCAATGCTAGTTTAGATATAAAGGTAATAACAGCTTCTGGTTTGTATATAAATTCTATGTGGCATAATTAATATAAACATGTCGACGAAATTGATTTTTCATAACTCACTATTTAGTTACGTAGGTAGATGTTTGCATGTTTAGTTTGTTTCGAAACATTTAAAGGAGAAAGTTATCGTGACCTTGTTCCTTAGAATTACATAATTACGAGTCCTTGCCAACTTTACAGCACCAAGTTGTTGTAGCTACTTATTACTCCTTTACCGCTATCAGATTTTACTTTTTAAATAAAAATTAGGCCTTATGGTTACAGTTTAAAAACTTGTTTTACGTAAGGTACTGACAGGAAAAGTCACTTCCATATGTAACATCTCATTAAGAAGCTATTATCGTGTCTCTCATATCCTTACATTACGAAATGGAACAAGTAATAGTACACAGGATATGTTCTTAATTATAGTTAGTTTGACTAATCGACATTTATCATTTGTATAACATCCTCTAATTTAGATATTACAACATGAATTTATACTTAAATATTATTTTTAATTGAAAATTTGCAACGGGAGCTTAAACAACATTTGGACAAGATACCTCATAAATAATTTGTAAAAACAAAACATCGATTTCACCATATATCATAAACATCGATACACATATCTATAAGGTGTTCGTGCCTTACAGTTTCACAAAAGCTTCTAAGCATGCAAGGGCTGTTCCAAAAAGCCTTTCTTCCTTCGTGACATTGGAGTGCATATCCATGCGGAGACTAGTGATGGGGGACACCAAGCGGGACTTACGGCGATAGTTGTCACTCTTCTTCTAAAATGGGAGAGCTGCCCGTGTGTGATGTCTCGTTTTTATCGTAGATTTCAGCGGGAAGACTATTTTTTCTGATCCTCGGCTCCGGAGGATCCCATTCAGGTAAACTATTTTTTCGGCAAAGTTGCGTGCTGCGGTGCGCGTGCTGGTGGGAGCAATGTTGGTGAGGGGACGTGTCTTCCCGCCGAGTCTGGCTCAACCCAGCCACCGTTTGGGATACGAATGACATCTTAGTTTTGATATTTCGATCTATAGAAAAACGTCTGCTTATTATTTACACGAAGTTGAATTATAGGTTTCAGAGCTATATCATTTCGTAATAAACTACTGGCTTATATTATTTTCAACTTTCTAGCTGAGTAGTTTTAGGAGTTTAAAAGTAATACGAGTTCATTTAAAAGCACGGTGAGAAAATTGTGGCGGAACACGCGACGAGGCGGCGAATGAATTAACAATTTGAATGTGGTTTATAGTGGCTTGTTTTTTTTTTTGTATAATTTATTGATAGCGTTTCTTAGGTTATTTAATAAAATTTATTATTTGAATTGTAATCACAAATTGTACAAAGAACTAATCAAAAGGTTTTTTTTAAACAAATGTAATTAAGATTATAATTCTTACTTTACAAAAACGCGTTCATACAACGGAATAAATATTTTTTATTTAAAATACAAATCTTTTAGTAATTTAAATATATTCAAGATTCTATAATATCTAATTTTAGCTCAGCACATCGTATGTGACTTTTCGTTCGAGTAAACATTCTGAGCAAGCGAGCATTTTCCGACATACTTTTTCTTCTTATGTGACGATATACAATTGCATACAAAGAGTGATCGGGTACAAAAGAAACTTGGCTTGAAGCCAGAATATTAGTTGACAATTTGTGATATATTGAAGAAATGTTTTGTAACAAATTATAAACCGATCGTTTTAGAATTAATAAGATCGAATATAGTAAGCTCATTATTTTGAAACGTTGTCAAAGCCGTTTTATCATTTTCATGGTGTAATAATTCAATTGTTTTTTTTAATAAACTAGGTATTCAAACTCGCTTCGCTGTGGTTCGTCCCTAGTGCAAAACAAAAACAAATTTATCCCACGGGAACCGTACATTTTTCCGGGATAAAGAGTAAAATGACGACACGTTTGGCTCAGTTTGTAGTAACCTTACTTGCTGCGCCAGCGGTCGCGGGTTCGAGTCCCGCTGGAGGCATTCGTTTGAGTGATGAGCACGAATGTTTGTACTCCAGTCATGGGTATTTATATTTATAATATGTATGTATTTAAAGTTATATATGTATAATGTATCAACTATCTGGTATCCATAACACAAGCCTCGTAGCTTACCATGGAACTAGATGGCGCTGTGTGTTAATGTCCTGACATATTTATTATTATTTATTTAATCTATGTACTATTCCAGATTATAATCTATCTCTACAGCAAATTTCAACCAGATCCGTTCAGCCGTTCTGGCATAATTGAGTAACAAAAATTCATTCAAACTTTTGCATCTATAATATTTATTTTAATTGGATTATATTATATTTTTTCTTTTTTTCTTATAGATAAATTATATGGATTATAGAGAAATTAGTATAGATGTATTCTACATATAATTAATCTTTGCGACTACCAATTTGAAAATTTCTTTTTGGATTTTATAGCTTATTTATAGGAGAGGTTTATAAACTATTTACTATCACGCTACGACCCTTAGGCGACCCTTAATCTATTGAAGTGGAGTCTCGGGCAAAATATAGTAGTAGGTATATTAGTAGGGGGATGTCTCCAGTTATTGCATGACCATCCTAATAAGCAAATATTTTAAATAAAACTATATTTTCGGATTTATTAGCAGGTTTATTTTGATTTTTGGTTCCCGACGTTTCGAATGTTTGCCAGCGATCATAGTCACGAGGGACTCTTCCGTGAGAGAGAAAATTCAAATAAAATGTCAAATATTCGCTTAAATATAAGTATTAAGTAAAAAGTATATATACATATATGTATGTATGTACTTTGTCAATCTTTTTTGGTAACTTAATTGGTAAATGTGTGTATTTTTTTTATTGTAAATTGCACGTTGTCTGTTTATTAATATTGTTTGTTTTCCTAAAATAAATAAAATAAAAATAAAAAGTAAATTATAAGATAATAAGACGAACATTCTTTTTAATCTCTACGACGAGATAGCAAGGGCAAGTTAACGGGAGCATCATGATAAAAAGCGTGCCCTACTTTACATTTTCAGAGATCGATATTTGTTACTCTGTAGTATTTCTGATTACGAGTGCAGCTTGAGCTCAATGACCATCTTTCAATGGCAGCTTTGAACTGAACGTTGACTTTTTTATCTTTTTATATCAAGTTAGACTAGTTTATGAATTCTTCTCTAACAATTTCTTATAACTGAGTGGAATTAGATATGCTTTTAATTCAATTCAATTTTCTTGTTAATGGCTTTAGTGGCTAGTTGAGCATTGATTAATATTCGCATGTAATGATAAGAAATATCATCGGTCTAGACTTCTATTAGTGTACCTAGATAATCTATTAGTCCTTATATTTTAACCTGCTTCATTGCTTGTCCTTATTTTTTTACGAATATATCTATATTCTAAATATATAATAATGAATCTTTATTAAATAATAAATGTTTATTTTTCTATCGAAAACAAAACTTTATAATGATACGAAATTCAAATATATTTTATATGGAAATAAACGATAAACATAAAAACATACAAATTACCCTTTGTAGAGTTACTGAGTAAATTGTGAATGGTAATGGATCATTTATTTCTAGCCAACCGGAATTTGTTACATTTAGGGTAAACTCAGGGTAAAGGGTAAACGAAAATGTCCCCTTCTTGAGGGGAGGTGGAGGTATGAATGGTCAACTTTATTTTGGCTTAGGCGCTTTATTAGTATTTTATTTCAAATTTATTTTCATTTTTTCATATCCGTGCAGCGTAACGATAAAAAAATAAACCATTAATGTGGATTCGTCATGTTTTTAGTTAACCTGCTACGTCAAAATATCAGAAGATTGATGTTAGTAGTTCTCTGTGTAATTTATAGAACAGTTATTCGACGAAAATATTTTTCTCAAATACATATATTATTTTTAGGAATATGTTGTATCGTTTATTTAGATGATATTTTATAATTATTATTAGGAGGCGGAAGTAAGTTAGTAAATCTTTTTTTGAAAAAATATGACATTATGGGATTTAAATAGAAGTTTATGTAATTTTAAATAGAAAACTGGGGATTTCGAACGCGTCTCTTTCAGTGACACAGGTGAAATCATTTGTGCTCAAATTGCACGTATTGAAGCCAATATTAAATAAAGAATTGAATTGAAAACTGGGAAAAGGTTTTTTATATTGCAGATAGGTTGTTTTATATATATACTTAGATATACTTATAGAAATAAACACTAATATACTCAAGTGAAACTAAATTGTAATAAAGGAATCGAAAACTAATTCGTGCTTGAAAACGAATCTCAACGTTTGTCTTATTAAATATCATAAAATGTATTACCACATAATAAGATTCTTTACATATAACACATCGATAGTGAAGGAAAACATCGTGAGGAAACCTGCATGTCTAAGTGAACCTAGCAAGTTTTCGAAAGACATGTGAAGTCCGCCCGCACTCGGCCAGCGTGATGGACTATTGCCTGATCTCCCTCGTATTGAAGGGAGGACCGTGCCCAGCAGTGGGATGTTAAAAAGGGCTGAATACATATCGATATTATCTATACTAATATTATGAAGAGACAGTGTTTGTTTGCTTGAACGCGTTAATCTCAGAAACTACTGACCCGATTTAAAAAATTCTCTTTACATTAGATAGACCGTTTATTGAGGAAGGCTGCAGGCTATACATCATCCCGGAATATGTAGGGTTTCCGTGGGATAGATTTGTTTTTTTCTAGGGTCGCACTCGAAGCGAAAGGAGGGTAAATCGCTAGTAAAATAATAAAAAATGTTATGCCACATAAAAGTTTTGCCAAATTCAAAAGTATTTATAATAATTCTATTTGAATAAAGTTTATATCAATTCATTTCAAAATTATCTTTACACTCAATATAAATATTTGTAGTAGTAGATAATAGTGTAGCCGCTAGAACAAAGCCATAAACTTGACAGTTAACGAGTTACTTAATTGCTTTACGTTGATTAATGTAGATGGCACTCCTATTCAAGACTTTTCGTCCTTGACGTGTCAGGCGTATGGAATTAATTGGTAAATATTGGAAATGGTCACTAATTGTAGGCATAAACCTTTTATAATACTAGCGACTCACGTCCGTCCCTAGATGAGCCTTTAAGTTGACATAACTTTTTTATTTATGAATCGATTGAAATTAAACAAATACTAAATGATAAGTTAGGCCTACCACAATATAGTGAAGAGCGCATCCAAATCGGTTAAGCCGTTTCTGAGATTAGCGCGCACAAACGCACAGACAAACAGACAAAAATTCCAAAAATCGTTGTTTTTGGTTCTATTGTGTTAATAAAGACCCCCAATTACAGTTTTTCTCAAATACTTTCCATGTACAGACAGCGATCTGTTACACTTTTATTATATGCATAGATGGCATAGGAACTCAAACTTAAAATTAACTAGTAAACTGCTCTGGCTTTATTTAATTACGTCTTGAGATAAATAAAAAAAAAAACAAATAATAACCCACGGGAATCAAATAGTATTTACTTATTTATTTAGGATTGTCAACAGAAAATAATTTATTGCACGACTCAATTTAATTCAATTTTATTTAGCCATTAAGGCTTCAAAGCGTGCCATTTTAGCAGCTATTACATGATAATTCAAATTAAGCTATTATTATTGATTAAATGCTTTTCTAATTATGAACAATTGCAGCATGCACTAATTTCAAAGAAATAATAAAGAATACTAAAAACTAGAAGTACAGTAAGTTATAAATAAGTTATAAAAAAGCTCATGAAATATATGCCAAAAACCTTAATGCTGATAAAGGACAAAATAGCAAACTCATGAAGTAGCAAAGATTCAATTCAATTTAAAGGCAGTTTTGAGAAATTTAATAAGTCAAGTCGTAGGTTTCATACATTTTTTGACTAACTTCAAAAGAAATATATTCAAAAAATAACCTTTACGACGAAAACCCCTTCAGGAATGAAATATCTACATTTTGTCTGGCTCCACTCGTATATAA